TGCAACATTTTAATATATTAAAAAATGAATTAAAAGGAGAATTTAGCATTTATTGGGATAATAATAGATTTCAGTTAATATGGTAACAGGAAATTTTTTATGAGGTGTTAATCAGCAAAATAACAAATATGATTAATACTTGATAGATATGCAGCGTTTTTATTTTAATTTGTTTTACTTGGAACACTAAGTTTCACTGAAAAAAAACTTATTTTTAAGATTATTTTGTTGATGATTACTTTAAGCAAGTCAATTTTAACATTGCAGAATACACCAGAAACACGGTCACTAGTATCAGAGAAAAATAGTCAAACATCGACAGCTTGTCAGATTCCATCCAAATCTACAAATATTCGCAAAGCTAAAGTTAAAGGTTTTGTTTTATGGGAAATTTATTTTCAAATTTTGGTGAATATCACCTTTACACAGACTTAGAAATGTTGTAATATTGCAGTAATAATAGCGTAATAAATTTGTAAGCTTTCTGTTATTTTATTTGAATATCGTTTTCAAAAAATTTTATTTCAGTTCAAAATGTCTTGAAATCAAATTCAAAATCTAACGATCTTCTCAAGCAATTGCAAACTCTCTTTCTGCCTCGTATCAAGTCCACTGAAGTATTCTTTACGTTTCATTCACAATTTTAATTGACCTTCTCAAATGATTCATGCCACCTTAAGAGAAGTGCTATTCATGAGGCATTTTCGTATTCTAAAATGCATTTTTTTTTCCTACAACAAAACATGGAAGTTTTTTTATTTAAGTACTACAAAACCTCTAAATTAAGATGAAATTGGCTAGAACAGTAACATAAATAACAATTGATGACAGATTTAATTCTTAATAAACTATTTAAAATATTCCTCCTTCAGAGATTAATATTTATTGGACAAGAGCCAGATGAAATTCGTACCTGGGTAGTAAAGTCTGATAATTGCGAAAAACGGCTAATCATTGTTGGACCACGAGATATAAAGACAAAGTGAGTTCAAGAATGGTGTAATTTTCAAGTTTCAATACAATTTTCTATAATGAGCATCGATTTATGCCTTCACTTATTCAGGAAATTATTATTAGGACGTGAGAATAAGTGGTGTTCGACGTTTGTCACATTTAGCTACTTTCAATGAAATTTATAAACAGTTTTTTGGTTTAAATTTTAATTTCTTAACCTTTTCCATTTCAGCAACTTGCTTTTTCATTTTTTGAAGAAAATTTCCCCTCTTAATCTTTCTCACACACAACAGATTTTTTTTGCTCATTAAGTATTTTCAAGCTGCACTACATTTAAAGTGGTTACAAATCAATGTTCAAACATATTAAGATCAATTGAAAAATGTTTTAGTAACGGATAATTTTGATCAAAAAATCATCAAATATGTAAAAAATAACTGAAAAATAAAAGTTTTATACAACATTTAAAATGATTTCAGCATACGTATGATGAAAAATTTTTTAATTTTGAGTCTTTATTCTAGTTGCAAACTTTAAAATAATTCTGAACAGAAATGAATTGTTAGTTTGGCATGCATTTCATTTTTATGCTTAGAAGACTACTTTGAAATTTCAGCACTGTATTTATTATTGTTTCATCAATTTAATTATTACACATTATCAATTTATTACTTCAAAACTTTCAATGATATGTTACAGTAATGAAACGCTATTTTAATTCATTATCTGATCCTTCTACATGATTAAATGCTACTGAGCAAATTTTTTTATGAAAAAAAATTAAACCTTTTGATTTTTTATGATTTTTAATCGTATGAGTTAATGTGAAGTTTATTGTGTAGTTATGATCATTTTACGATACATCTAACGTTGGTAAAAAATTAACTAGTCATTATTTTACACATCCTAATTTTGAACATTTTCATTTACTTTACTGCTTTTTAATACTTAAATGGAACTTTGGGTACATTGAGTTGTTAGAGTTTATATTGCATGATGTTTATGCCATGTTCTTAAGTACTCAAGTACCACAATTCATTTAATACATCATATGCCTGACTGATTAACATGATTTTTTCATATTTTATTTCAAAATTTTGCGCCTTACACTCAATTTCCATATAAATTTGTGATTTTAAAACTAACCAATATAAAATATTGAAGCTGACAGAATTTATTAATTGAAAATTTTCTCTGCACTTTTTGAAAACGCTTGCTATTTTACTTTTCATGAGTGTGCTTGTGAGTGGATTACTACTTAAAAGTAGCTGACTTAAAAAAAAATGTGATGCATGTAACAGGTGACAAGTAGACTCTAATGGGTTGTTCTAGTAATGAAAAGCAGTTCATGAGATATAAAATGGGTTTATCCACCAAAATTAGTTGCCGACGAAAGCAAAAGCCAATGTATCAGTCAACCAAACTCTTCAGATGCTGATGACATATAACTTAAAAGTTATTCTTTTCAAAACATAAACCAAATTTTAAAAACACCTTACCAATCGATCTCTTCTGACTATTTACCTTTATGTGCGAGTGCACAAAGATCCAGATTCCTCCCCTTGTTTTCATTTTGAGCATACATCAATGCCTTTCGATTTTTAAATTATAAATGTACTCTTATGAAAAGTAAAGCAGAAAACAATTACTGCAGCTAAAATTTTAATATTAAGAGGTTTGCAAATGTAATAAAAGTGATAATAATAAGAATAATAACAGTATGATAGCAGTGGTAGTAATAATGATAATAAATAGTACGTATTAACAAATGAATTAGTAAAAATTATTGGCAGTGGTATTGAAAATTTTTTAAAGCAAAATCTTTTAGTCAGCATTATTGTAACTAATTCTGATCAGTTATTTTCATAAAATTAGTTCTAAAAAGTTTTATTTTTTTCTAACAAAATGAATACTTATGGGAATAAAATTATTATTATTCAAAAAAGGAAACTTGGCAGTTTATGCTCATGTTTTAGTTCATTTATTTACACTGATTAACAGTGTTACTGATCGAAAATACAGCACGTGTTATGAGAGAAGGACATGAAAAGTTTGAAAAAACTTCGATTTTCCTTGGGCCCCTTCACATAATTTGGTTTATCGCTGAATAAATGGACTAGGGTTCAACTCAAAACAACTATTAGGCTGAGGCAGATAGATATGCAAAATTGGTTCTTGAAATTCATTTGTAATAATTACCAAGTACACCCGCAATCTATTCAAGCATTTTTAGGAATCCGAAGATTTATTTATTCATTCATCTACCTATTTATGTGTTTGTGGCAAAAAAGCGATAAATCGAGTTATGCAAAAATAGTGTCACATATTTCATTCTGATAAAAAGCATTTTTTTTTTCGATATTGGCTAGCTAGCTACCTTCTTATTCATTTTGCTTAATCCTAATGATCAAGCTTTATAAATACTAAAGCCATTATGATGTTATTATTTTTAAACACTGACGAGACATTATCTCTCTACTCGTTGCTTTTATAAATACTAAAGGAACGCCTTGTGCTTAGAGTTTCAAATTCGAATTTTATCAGTGCAACAGTGTTTCGATGCGATTTCATATCCTTGAAGTTTTGCTTTAGAAACAGTGAAAGCATAGATTTTCTTATTTTTGAGTATCAATAAAGTTTTTCTGCTTTAATAATATAAGAACAAAACTGAGTTGTATTCACGTTGCTCTTGAATAATTATTTTGCATATTTCGAAAGAGGTTGCTATGGATGTAATCATTTAAAGTATCCAATATCACTGTTCAAAGTGCATATTTCATAAAGTTTCAAGAGTGATACTTTCATAATTATTAAAAAATATGATCATAGTACCACAATTTTAGCAAAGTAAAACATCGCATCCAACAAATATTTTTCTAAACAGTCTTTTTCTTCACTACATTTTTGAAGTCGTGGTATCAAATTGAACAATTCCTCAATCTATGCGTTTAACATTTCGAATTTTAATATTAATATATAATGTACTCAAGTGCACCATTAAAGTTTATGAAGTATTTTTCGATCAAACCATAATTATCAATATTGCTTCAATTTCTTTGGACACTAAATGAAATCAGTCTGTATTCATTCACAATATTATTATCGCATATCATGGACAATAATTAAACAAAAGCATACCACGGAATTGGAGTAACTTTATTTCTGAGATATGTTTAGGAAGTTGTTTATAGTGAATAAGCTATAAGCTTGCAGAAGCTCAAAAAAAAACATTACTTAGAGATTTTCACATTTACTACTATTGAGAAATTTTTCAATTTTTTTTTTAAATCTCATTTTATTATCGGCGGTACTAATTTCTGTTTACGAAAGAATTTTTGATTTTTACTGCGTTTGTCAGCACATTTCTATTTACTTTGTATTTTGATCGAAAATTTCAATTATGATACTGCTTTGCTGAAAATTATGGGAAGCGATTGACGAAAATAATCAATAATCAGCAAATTTTGAGGTCAAAAGGTCAAGTTCACATTGGTGATCAAATTTTGGCATTTGATAAACACTTGCTGCAGCCATTGTCAGTCACTGCCGAAGACCAAGCTCAAAGTCAATTTGACCCAAAGCGTTGCTCTTCTACTTTAACAGAAAATGTAAATTTTCAGAAATATTTAACCAAATTTTGAGAGAAATATATGGCATATATTGAATCTTTTAGTGGCATGATCTGAATAAATAACTAAACTACCGAAATCATCATGCGAAGAAATGATAAAAGGGGCATAAGATAGTAACAATAATATGAAGCTTCGCATAATCCAAATTAAGTTTCTCTACTCAGAAAAAAATTCGCACAGCCTTCTCCTGCTTTTAAATGAGCACAATTTCCACTGTTAAATGATGCATGATATCTTTTATCTAGCTAATCGGAGAGTTAGAGATATTAGCGGAATGCTTGAACAAACCACTTAGCTAGTTTATTAGACGAAACAGTTCATATTTATGGTCAGATTTAGAAATTTAAAATTTTCAACCTTTACCCCAAGTTTTGCAGCTTCCTATTTACTGCATTTCTTACCAAAATTAACGAAATGTATTACGATAAAGTTTTCGATTTTTGATTAACAATGTGCTAATTCAAAAAGTTGTGAGAACTTCACAAGTTAAATTATATTTTAGGAGCAATATGATAACTCAGTCGTGCATGATGTGAAACCATATGTCATTGATGATTTTCACCTAGCAAAGCAGCACAGCAGTGGTTGCGTAGCGCACGATGCAACAAAGCAGTCATTGGCGAGTAACCCGCAAAGATTGACGGAAACTCCCGTAAATATTTGTCAGCAAAGCAGTAAGAGTGAGCGATGGGAGCAACAGGAAGAAGCGACTAAACCTTCAATATTTTCCCAAAAGAATAGCAGTGGTCAGGTGGTCAATCAAAATGCAATATTCAAATCAGATATTGAAAATATTCCTGTGGTTCCGCCTACATCTATTTCAGTTGCTTTAACTGATAAGTTCGTCGAAGTTGTTGAAACAGTTGAAGCGGAAAGAAAGAAAGCCAACGCCCAGTCTGAAAATCACGTACCTTTCATTGTTGTCACGTTACTACGACAATCACCGCATATGGTTGTAAGTTTCTCCCTTAAAAATATTAAAATTTTCAAATTTTCATCCATAATGATTAAAATATGAATTTGAAGGGAAAAATATTCTTTTTGTTTCGCTGACATCCATTTTTTATAAATTCTTCCGTAATTAAATTTCTTATGTAAGTGCGACATTTTTTTGGGAAATTGCAGAAACTGACGGTTATATGTGTTCATGCAATTTTTAAATTTTAGTTTGTGTACATTGTTTTCATTCAGTCAACTTGTAAAATTCTGCCGTAAATCAGTTTTACTTTTAACCTTTCATTAAAATTTAATAATAATAATAATTATTATTATTCGTTCGTTTCAAAAGAAAGACGAGAAGAGACACAAGTATTAAATGAACTGGGTGAAACAAAAAGACGTGCGGATTTGGACAGATCCTAGCATTTTACGAATTAATTAATTAACAAATAAAATATTTATTCGAAAATTTATTGACTTGCAGTATGAAAAAGATGGATAGGTCTTGAAGCTATTTACGATTTTGAAAATTGAAGCGTTTTCATGTACACAGTTTAGTTTACTGCCTAGTAATTTCAGTTATTCTGCTTGTTTAAATTGAATCAATATTTTGTGATCGAGTCTGAGTTAATCTGTGATATTTAACACGTTATATTCTCTCTGATCAGAATTCGGAATAAACATTTCTTGATATAAATTATGAGTCTACAGTCCACAACTTTGAGTTTACTTGCAAACAGTTTTACCTCAAAGAATGTCGTTCTACATTATTTGATGAGTTTATATGTTAAAGCTGAAAGGGGATTTGACCGAAGTAGAAATTATTCATCTTCCGAATATTCCTGGTGTTGGATTAGGTTTCGGTATTGTGGGTGGCACCTCGACTGGTGTGGTCGTGAAAACGATTTTGCCAGGAAGTACTGCTGACAAGGTTTGAATATCAAGAAATAATTTTTAATCCAACTTGAAGTTTTGTTTTTGTAGATTACTGATATTTTAAAAAGTGTAGTCTTTTTGTCTTTTAATTATCATTTTATTATATCGCTGTAACGGAAAATACATAAATGAAATGGAGATGCTTGCCAGTAAAAAAACTACTGAATAGGTCCTTATTCTATTTATACAATGCATAAATTGTATAAGTAATTATTTAACATTGCTGGCTATATTAATGTAATGGTGAAATGCTACAGCAAAGAAAAATATTAAGCAGAAAAAAAGTCCTTCTTTACTTTTTCCTCTTTACGATTTCTTTTATTCGTCTGATTAAATGTATTTATATTTAACCTTTTCCAAATTTCTTGCAGTTTTATACTTTCTTCATTTGATTTGAAAGTTGGCTTATAATTTATTTTCATCAAAAGTTTGCAATTTCTCTTCAGGATAAACGTTTACGTCCAGGTGATCATATTTTGCGTATTCGTGGTATTAGTGTGTATGGGATGAGCTCACAGCAAGTAGCAACTTTACTCAGGCAACAATATACTATGATTGAAATAGTAGTTGGTAGACCAGCATTTACTTCAAATCAGTCAACAAACGACACAGCATGTAAGCTCAATTCTCAACTGATTTTGACCAATGATATCATGAATTTGAAAAACGGTTCTGTCAACAAAGTAAAAGCAGCAGTCAGCTAATACTCAGTGTTTGCTTTTTTTCGTTTTCATGCGCTATTCATGCATTAGTTAAAGATTTGTTTACTTTCATATGTTTACTTTTCCTGTTGTTTGGGAGATTTTTGAGATAGTTTCGGCTGAGTTAATTCTAATCTAAAAGTTCCAAAAATAAAATAGTTTCACTATTATGGTTGGCAGTTCAGTGTTTTATCTCATTACAATTCAGTATAAATGTTTATGTTTCTTACCAAATTATCATAAATTACGTCTGTTAAACTTTATACTTTTTGTATAAAACGCATCTATTAAGAGAGGAAAATTAATTTAATGTTTGACAATCAAGTAAAGCAGTCGAAATCACTGCTCACTGATAGTATTTATTAGTTGAAATGTTTCATATTGCAAGCATAATTAACAAATTTTTTCAGTAGCCATTTTTAATAAAATTTCCAATTCCCTTCATTATCTAAAGCATCATAACCTTCTGTTTCAAATGAAATAGGTGGGAACTTTTACGTTAATTTCATGTTTAAGATGAATTCTATGATTTTTTATGAAATAGATCAAATTTGGAGATGTAATTTTCTCATCAATTGCTTATGTTTGGCCAGAAAAATTGTTATTCAAATATTAGGAGCAATTTTTAGATCTGATCATTCACTTTAATATTTTTTGATTCTCTATCAATGCCAATTTACATTGTTATTACAATAGCAATTCTTGGCGTAGTAGCATAATAATTAGTAACAATAAAAATTTCAGAATTGAGCTTTTAATTTCTTTTTAGCATTGAAAGACATATTTAGAAGAATAAGAAATATTCCTTTGAATTTGATTTGAACATTTTAAAAGATGAACAATTTGAAATTATGTTAAAATGCAAAATGAAAATAGCTGATCCAAATTTCTGAGACATAGATGTTTTCGCTCAGTACATTCGAAGACAGCAACTTGATGTTATTCAAACGACTGTGTGTTTTCTCATATTATTGTTGGTACAAAATAATGGAAAAGCAAACAACCGTTTGCAAATTTAATGCAACTGATCTAAAATGAAAAAGAACAAAAACTTTTGAAAATTTTGTGAAGAATCTTGGCCATATCTAAAATGAATGTAGCTAGTACAGTAATGGCTGGTGAAGAGTGAGAAAATTAGCAACATGAATTACTTTGAATATGCAATAAACAGCACTGTTCGTTTGATCCTGTCAATCGGTTTCTGTTATTACCATCAGTAACTGATCAGTAGTGATCGCAAAAGAAGAGTAGCAAGTAGACGGAAATATCACACTAAAAGTAACTTCTAAATCCCTAAAAGTTCTGATCTATCAGATAAGATTTCAAAGCTTTGAGCTATATGAGATTTGTTGAAAATCAATGTAGACTTAGTAATTAGTTGCTTGATACAGCTTCAAGTTCTTATTTAAATAGTGAGAAATAGTAAGCAGTCCTGGGCTAATTTAATTTTCTGCTGCATCAAACAACTAATTATTTATTCAGTTATATTCACTGACTAACTAAGTATTCGGCGTACTGAGTTGAAGTTCAAGATCATTCTATCCTTTCTAGAAATATTATAAGTCTTCCATTTTTTTGATCAGTTTCAATCATTAATAGAGGCGCCAAATATTTTTCGATTCTCGCTGTTAGGATTGCAAAAAACGTTCACAAATTATATCTAAATTGCTGAAGAGAGAAAATATGAAATAAATGCAGTCAGGTAATCAATCCGATTTTCATAATAATTTGTTTGATTTGAATTTTGTTGCAGTTTCTTCATGATACGAATTAATTTGAATTTATTAACGTGATTTTGTAAATTATTCAAAAGACACTCTTTCAAAGCTTTTTTATTTTATTAGAAAAAATTTATTCATAGTAACTTGGAAGCGCCAAAGGAAGTAGCTGTACATTTCATTTGGCTTTAAATATTTAATCATGATGAAGTTATTACTCTAGATGCCCCCACAGTCCAAATGGTCATATCAACTGTATCAGCACTAGATCAAGGACATAAAGGTCAAAATAAATTTTAAAAAAATGATTTTTGGCGTTTATGATTGAACTGAACATACAGTGGGGAAAATAGGAACAGAAAATATAGCCTAAAAAATACTCACCTTACAGTAATATTCGTGCTCCAGATTCAAGAATGAAAGAAGCATGTGGAACATGATATATGATTAAGGAGCAGACTAGATACTATTGAAGCAAGTACTACAAAAAATGTGTAGTATCTAAAGGAGCACGTAATTCAAATATTTTAACATATATTTTCGTAATATAAAAATATTGCGAAGAAATTTCTAATTTGCTTGATATTCTTTTAATAAAATGAAATCAAAACACAAGAAAGAGTAGAATATCGCTACATCTTTTGATTTATTCTGACTATCTGCTTCTTATTGCTAAAGATGAGTTGATAAGAGTCGGCAACTTCCATAAGTACTAAAGATTTGTTTCTCAGTTGAGAATTATCGTTCCTTAGTTTAATCGGTTGGAATTCTGCATGACTGGTAATTATTTCATGTCTGATCATTTCACCTCTTTACTTTCACTTGAAGTCTGATTTCAATGAAAAATGCTACAACTTTTCAGTTCATTTGATTTATTTTCTAAATTGATGTTGTTTCTAAAACTCTGCTATCGAGCATTTTTTTTGCGTTTGTCACACTCTATTTCATTTCTATTCACTGCTGTTATTATTCCATGTCATTTTCTAAGCGTAGGAATTTTGAAGTTCTAGAAATTTAATTTACGAGAAGGAAGCAACTCACTTATGCAGGCATTACCGATGTACAATTCCTATCATCCATTTGTGAGTATAGCATAACATTTTTCCTATGCTCCTTAAATATTTTGATGCAAATTTAAGAAAATAACTTCAATAGTAAAATTTTTTTGTCTTTTCGATAATTTATTCTTTGCTTCTTAGTTGTTAAATTTACTTAGCAGCTATTGAAATTGGAGTAATATGTCGTACTTCAAACGATGATAAATTTTTGAGAAATAGACACATTTCATTTTAATTTTGATGGAGTAGTCATTCATTTTAGTAAAAACATCAAGAAGCTTGATAAATGTGCAGAACATACACTATTAATGCAGTTCTTTAGTTCCTATGTATTACTATCTTTGCTGACTGCATCAACTGAGTTACGTGAAAAATGGAATAAATCACAAGGTCATTTCATCTTTTGCATATAATTCAGTGAATGAACAATTGCATGGTAAATAACAAAACTCGATACTTTCTATCAACATTTTAAGTTTTTTCGACTCAAATTATGAATATGCAGAAATATAGCATATAAAAACTTTCTATCTGTCATAACTGTACAAGTTTATAAAGCAAGTTCCTTCACTGTCATATAATTTTTGCATTTATATTATCTTTGCAGGTTGTTGGACAATGCCAACACATAAAGCATTGTGTCCTCAGAGTTTGGAGGAGCAGATTCAGAAGCGTATTGTTGCATTGGCTAATCAAACTACATCGAAACCTAAGGAAATGAAGAATGATAACTACAACAGTAACGAATTAAAAGCTATTGCAAGCGAATCTTATGAAACTATAAAACCCATGGAAATAGTTATGGTTAATGTCGAATCGAAAAGTACTCCTGAAATCGAAGATGGTGCAATGATACTAACGACCAGTGATACTATTGATGAGGAAGGAATAAAGTTGGAAGAAAATCATTATACCGCTGTCAGTGAAAAAGAGTCAGAGTTAAAGAAAAATCACCAAATGGGTATCTTTGCTTTATGAATCATATTTTCTACTAAGAAGCACAATCTATCATACTTAACTTCGAAAAAAATAGTAATGTCAAATTTAAATTCAAGTCATTTGTTTTAGAAACAAAACGAGAAAATGAATTGCTTTCTATATTAACAGAATCTTAATCAAATTTCTCCCAACACTTTTAAATCTGTCTTCGAAAAAAGTTAAGTGAACCATTAATGAGGAAGAGTAGATCGCTCTTGTAATTTGTACTCTGATAATATGAAAAAAAATCTTCAAATAAGCAACAAATTCAAGCTTGAGAGCACTAAAAATGAGGTATAATCTCATAAAATTTGAATCGCTCAATGACTGACTAGTTTTATCAAATTTAATCCTATTTTTGACACTTACAAATATAAAGATAAAATTAACAAGAATATTTTCAATGGTATTTAATGAGTGAGGGAACATTTTAATCAACAATGATTTGCCTGATTTGCACTTTATTTAATTTTACATCGTTTATTGCGATTAAATTAGCGCACTAACTTAGCATGCATGAATAAGACTGAGATAATGCTCAAATTCGTTTTCATTTCTAAAAAACTGCACACTCATTTTCCGTTTAAAAAATATATTTCTTTCTTTCACTTTCCATACATTTTTGAAGATTTTTTAATACCTTACTTGAAAGATTCTCAATTTATCAATACAGGAATGTTAATGCTATGATCTTCTAATAATTGATTTATAAGACTTCTCTGGATCAAAAATGTCATTTAGGGATCTCTAAAGAAGAAGAAAATCAATCTAATGCTAAAATTCTTTTCCAAGCTCCTGCCTCGCCAAAAAATTGTAACGATTCGACGAAGATAAGTACTACACTTTCACATCGACAACTTCAGGAAATGGTGATAACTATAAACTTACGAGATATTTGCAAATTGATTAATAGGAAGCGAACGGAATTACAATTCTTTTTTCTCCCTCTCTTTATAATAATCTATAACATTCTTCTCTCTTGAAAGTTTTTGTATCGGAAGATAGTTTCATATTTTCATATTTTTACCTAAGCCGAAAATTCAAATGATTATTTCAACAAAATAAACAAACAAATTACAATGTTTTAAGAAGGAAATGCACATTCAAAGACTCACGAGTTTGTATTTAGTAGTAAGACATCATTTTTAAAGTATTCGCTCATAATTCAAATAATTTGCTGCTGCTTGACTATATCAAGCTACCAGAAAAATATTCTTTGGTATGATCGAAAGTGCATTTTTGCAAACATTGCAGTAGAAATCAATTTGTATTTTTAATACAGTAGGATTAGCAGTAAAGCATAACAATTAGTGTTAATCAATCAATCAATTAATTAAATAAGTTTTTCTATAAAATATAAGGATCATTACAGTAGCACCAGTCTTCCTTCATTTCCACAATAAGTAATTTTAGCAGTTTCAGGCAACAATAAGTAATATACAAGATAAATAATATGAAGAGAAGAAAATTATTAGTAACTTCTGTATAACAGAGGTTTCGAAAAGAAATTTTATGGGGTTATTCAAATCTCAATTGGATATGATGTTAACGGAAAAAGAATTAACTCCAAATTTGGCAATTCAAAAGCTTACCAAGCCCTTCCATAACAACATTTGCTTCCTCAAATTCTATCAATACAAATTTCCTAAATTTAGCAAAATTTGCTGCCGAAAAAAAAATGAATTATAGGTTTTAACAACATTTACTCGTGCAAATTGGATTCCCAAAAAGTATGAAACCATTGAAGTTGAGTTGTGCCGTGATCCGGTTCTCGGGCTCGGAATCACTGTTGCTGGTTATGTTCACGAAAAAGGTTTGCCTGATTATTATTCCCTTCCACTACAGTTGCTTGCTGCTATAGCATAAACTTTATTTTCACCAATTACTTTTTAATTTGACAAAAGTTATGTAAGTCTTAGTTTTGATATTTTGAAAAAAAAATAATTTGTAGGAGTAAAGCCAAGTTAAAATATTGGTTAGTTTTATTTGCAAGTTACTGCATTTAAGATGCAGCAAATAAATATGATTTAGAAAGGCAACCATTCGTATTCGTTTTCATTTGGCTGTCGCTTTAAACTCAAAAATTAGAAAAAGCAAAGTTTTTAAGATTTGTGATTTAGCAAAACGATCAATTGAATGATCTTAAAACATAAATGCAGTTCACTTGGAACTATTTCAAATACTAGAATAGATTTGAAGTTTCGGAAATTATTATGGAACAAAAAATTGTAGAAATATTTGAGCCATGCACATAAATATCTCTTTTTACACATCAATGCCTTGGAAATTTTCACAAAATTTTCTTATTATCATTTTAAACTATTCTGCGGCAGAATTGCAGTTCACGTTTTCAAATTCTTATTCTCTTCAAAAAATAGTGTAATAACCGTGCTAGTTCTGATTGGAATTTGGATATGTGAGAGAACTATAAAGTTATCCAGATCAAAAAATGTTTGAGAAACTGTTGCTTTCACTTCTAAGGAAAACTAAATTGACTTGTCTTATAGTTATCATTATGTATATCGAAATGATACAAATCTAATTTACTTGTATTTTTAGAGCAGGTTGAAAATTGTATTCCACATTCCATCAAACTGCAATCACTGTTTGATTTTTTTCGGAAATGTGTTTTTAGTAGATAAAATGTTGCAAGTTGTTCTTATGAAGGTAGTCATATGAAAGATGGCAACATTATGATAATATTTTTTAACTTGTTCTAGAAGATAAGTAAAATTCTGAAGTGTGGTAAGCTGTTATTCATTGAATAAATAATATTTTACTGAAGTTATTGCTTAGTTTGTACACCAAAAATGCCTTATTTAGTTCGAAAAAATAAATAAAATTTTCACACAGTGCTTTTGTGCCAATCTGTCATTGAAGCTTTCTTGTTTTTTCTGTTCATAATAATTCCCATTTCTAGTAAAGCTAAAGTGAATAAGAAAACAGTAAATAAATTTTTCGACATTTTCTATTTTTTTTTCTTTCCTTTCATCTTTTGTTCTTCTGTAATAATACAAGAAAGTACGCTTTACATCATCTATACTAACTTTAACAAGGCACTGAATTTCAATTCTTATCTTCCTGCTCATGATGAAAAAGTATGGCATACAAGCTGCTTTTTCAAACTGTTGAACTCTTATTTTTTTATCACTTTCGCTTATGTTTAAAAGTATTTCAGAGGAAATAAATGGCGTGTTTGTAAAATCACTAGTGCCTAATTCAAGTGCTTTTTATTCGAAGAAAATACAACTGCATGATTTAATTGTTGAGGTAATTTTGTCGTTCATTTATTTGTCTGTTCATATATGAATACAATTTGAGTTGCTTCTTTAGAACTAATATTTTCAAGCAAAACCATCATTGCCTTAAAAGGGAATGAAAAGAATGCAATAAATCAATTTAGTAAAACTTACTTCTAATCTCAAAGATTAAAAGTTAGGTATTCATTCATTTTGATTCCCAAAAACTGACTTAGAAGAACCGACAATGTCTGCAATTCGCTACTTTCTTGAACTTACCGATTGAAATTTCGTTTTTCTATCGTTTTTGTTGTCATTTCTCTGTAAAAAAGAACATGTATGTATATAAATATAAATAAAAAAAATTTTTTTTTTAAATTATACATTGAGATTTGTTTTACGAGCACTTGAACTTTAGCTTTGAGGAAGCAGAAGCATTTTATGAAATGTCATCAAGTACATATGACTGCATGCAGAAATTTTAAAAAATTTTTCTTATTGTGTTGCCAATCTCTCAATTTAATGTAAAAACTCTTTAGCCTCTTTTCTTATTTGTTGCATAAAATATAGAAAAATGCAATGAAGCTGATAAACAGCGATATTCTTTAAATGATCATTTTGATTTGAACAGTTTATCAAAGGCTGCATTCCTGTCTAGTACAGATAGGTTTTGTTTTTGCTAGTAGTAAATGATTGAAAACATTTGAGCTTTTTTAGGCTTTAACGTCGATCATCCAAGCGTACTTTAGCTAAGCATTACTTTCAAGATTTTTTTTACATTATATTTTGTTGAAGACGAAATTCGAAACCAATCTGTTCTTTCTTGAAGAAAAGAAAAATATAAGAGAAATATATAAAATGAATTCACTGCAATTTATCCATTATTCGATAAATAGCGTATTTCTCTTTACTGCGGTTAAAATTCAAATTTCATATTTTTACCAGAAATATTTCTCAAACTACTAATGTTTTATGTTTTATGACCGATACGAAACTGTGTTAGGTTTATATATATATATAGAAAGTAGTTTTAATGTTAAAAATTTAATTTATTTTTTGATTCTAACTTTGAGATATAAATTTCAGCAGCTTATGAGAGAAGAGATTTATCACTGATTTTAGGAAACCATCGATAAAATAAGAGATTTGACTTTCTAAATTAGTAGCTGACTACATTTTTCTTCTTTCAGTCTCAATGCAATTTCTGTTTTTAAATCGAATGAGTCTTACTTAAACCCATAAAATAAATCAAATCCGTTTTCTTTTGAAGGTGGATGGTAAGTCGTTAGAAGGTTTGAATCATCGTGATTCGGTGCGAACTTTGGTGAGAAGTGGTACTCGAGTAAAAATCAAATTAATTCGTTTTCTGCCAGGATCCCAACAAGCTCAGTGCCTTCAGATGCTACAAGAACAGGTTAGTTATAATTTTACTTGGGACTAAAAATTTTTTCATTAGTTGGTTCCACAAATCTTTTGCCATTAAATATTTTTTCATGATTATCGGTTGAATTATTTTTGTCTATAAATATTTCATATTATTATTTTATCCATATAATCTTTTCACACTGTGTTTAATGTATAGTCAAGTCATCATACACATGATGTCACTAATTTTCGAGATTAAAAAAAATTTGATCAGATACATATTTGAAAACCAAACTTTGCGTTGATTCTTATTTTTCATACTCAAACGTTTTGCAAAAATCATTATTTTTGATTATGCAGAACAAAGTAAATCCGTATTTTTTTGATCACTTACAGTCTTACTTATTAACTTTAAACTCATATATTTTGCAATGATTTGCATGTATTATTATTTAAAAATTTATTATTTAAACTAGCAAAAGTAAAAATTATTGCTTAGTAGAAATAATAACTTGAAATTTAACGATTGCTTAGCTATGAACTACGAATTTTTCTAATTTAGGAAGCTACGGCACCAGTAATTGATACACAAAATATACTGCGTGATGTAGTAGCACATTGGAAGCGTCATCTCGGCGCTGATTTTGAAGTTGTTAGTGTAGATCTGATTCCTGATAAATGCGACGATGGCGGTTTGGGTATTTCACTTGAAGGTACCGTGGATGTCTTGAATGGTACTCAGTTATGCCCTCATCATTATATTGATTCACTTAGGCCTGGTGGACCTGCGGCTTTTTCCAATGCTCTTCGATCTGGAGATGAATTACTCCAGGTAAGCTTTAAAAAGTCTCATTCCTTTTTTACTTCAGTACGTGAGCATGAAATAAGTTTAAACAGTTTCGAGGGAAAAAATCATATCTATTACGAATACATCAAATATTTGAAGGAATCAACATTTAGAGTGAATTTGAAGACTAGTGAATAAACCACATAAAAATTTCAGGCAAATGATATGGTATTGTACGGGGAATCTCATGTAACTGTGAGGCAAGCACTAAGTAAAGCTGCGTCTGCTTCACAACGAGTTAGGCTGACAGTAGCACGTAAGGCTCAAACAGTAAATGTATTCATGCCTAGACCTGAACAAAGCCTTCCAACTGCTTATCCTTTATTAGCTGCTTCTGATAATCGGATGGTTAAAGTCAGTTTCAATGACTTTCATGTAAAAACATCAAAGCTAATTTTCTGTACAAAAGTAATATTGGCAATTATCCATATCAAAAATTTAAAGAATACCTTGTAATCTAGTGAATTTCGAACAGGAAATTAATCGTACCTCAAAATATTTCTTTTTTTTGTCCATTTGTACAATAATAATTTAAACGATTGAATTTACTCGTTGTCTTTATCTCCTTTACCCTGTATATGATCGTTTTGCGGTTTGAAAAATGACAAAAAAAATACCAAAAAAAAAGTCTTCTAATTTGACATTTAGAGTTGTTTTTAAAACTGCATCATATAGTTGTTTTTACTTTTCACTTTGGTTTATTCTGGAAAATGAGGTTGAAAAAAAAAGTTCTATAAAAATCTTACAATTCTTATTTTTACCAGTGGAAACCGGTTCTTAAATCTATAAATGATATGTTTATTAAAAAAAATTGCAGGCAAAATCAGAAACTTGCTTAACTCGAGCTTTCGATTCAACAGCATCAGTGCTAGAGCAGGTTGCGTTCTATCGTAATTCACATGTAGTTCTAAATTTGTTCATAATGCTTACATTCAAGAAGAATTGAAATTAATTTATATAAAAAAGATATTTAAAAGGTGGAATGTGTTTTAAAAAATATTTTATTTTAATTCCTTTATTCTGCAGTCTAGATATGTGGTAAGCTTTCGTGAAAACACGTCAAAAAAAACTAAATTAGTTCATTTAGTCCGTTTATTCATCATCATTTGTTAACTTCTTTTCAGTAATTTACTTTCTTAGGTATCTCGACGCTTACGCTCACGATCGTTGCAGCTGTTTACAGGATTAGCTATTTGGAAATGTATACCGATGATAGTTCAACTGGAAAAGGATAGTCGTGGCTTAGGATTCTCCGTTGTTGACTACCGGGTTGGCTTCTTTGCCGAGTGAGCACACCTCGGAGTTTAATGCAAAACCTTAAACAATATACTTCTAAATTGCTACAGTCAATTTTTCAAATACATTTTCAATCAGTTAATTTGGTTTCTGTTTCATACGCGGTATTTCTCAAAAATCTTGTGCAAAAAATACTCAGAATCTCATTATATTATTTATCTCATCAGTCATTACATTTATTATGTTTTCTTGAGGACATCATTACAGGATCCTCTTCATCCGGGAGAGTCGGTGATTGTTGTCCGATCACTAGTGCCTGGTGGGTTGGCGCAAGCAGATGGTCGAATAATACCTGGTGATCGGTTGATGTTTGTTAATGATGAAGATCTATCAAACAGCACATTGGAGCATGCAGTTTCTGTATTGAAATCAGCTCCTGATGGTTTAGTAAGACTAGGAATTGCTAAACCTATACCCATTGAACAAGTAATTTTTGTTATTACTGCAGTATGTAAAATTTTAGAAATGCTTGCTGCATTTATTTAGTTATCATTCACAACAGCGAAAATTAATTACCTACTCTTTTCAAAAATAGTCAGTGCCAAGTGTAAATTTTATTAGAGCACTTTTGATGTAGTAATTATTAGACTTATGAAGTAATATGAAATAAATTTGCTAAATATAAGCAATTTATTTGTTCTTGACAATGTTTGTGGTCTACAATTTTTTGCAGTTCACATTCTTGCAGAAGTGATACTTCAGAAACGTGAAATTACTAATATAAATTGTTATAAAACGAGCTATGCCAGCATTTTTCCATAATTCCATAAAGGCTTCAAGTTTTTTAGACGCTAAACGAAAATTTCAATATTTTTCGCCCTTTCAAATATTATGTACTTGAATTTGCAAAATTGAAAACTGCAACTGGATGAAGATTATCTGTTTGTTTTTTAATGACAATCTATGTATCAAAAATCGTGCTCTGCATTTGAGGATTTTTAGTCAAAAACTTCTGTTCTTCATGAACAGAAGAAATTAATGTATACCAAAGTTACAGATAAAATAGTTATCAATTGAACTTTTTTTTTTGTCTAAATAAAAGTAGTTTGTTACTTCGATTTGGTATTTGCATTCAAATTAAATTGGAAGTTATTTTCAGTGCCTAAAAATTAAATGAGCTTGAATTCCTTCAGAAAATCCAATGATTAGATTTTTTTCAATGCAAAATATGTACATTGTGGGTAGATTTAAGAATTCTACGAAGACAGCATCATTTAAGAAAACAATTCAATTTACCATTAAAACTTGTTTCGTTTGTAATGGGAAAGAGTAGTCAGTAATTTTCTTAGACTTGAAAAATAAAAGGCTTAGTTGTTAAAGGTTCAAAATGCAGTAGTGTCTCTTGAATGGTCATCAATCGTGATAACACTACTAGAGTAATGCATTTTTTGCCTTAAGTAAGTCTTGCTAGGTGGATTAAATTCGCATTTCAGATAATGCTCAGACAAAAGTTTCCTTAAGTTCACATAAAGTCATTTCTCAGAGTAGTATGTTGAACATTAGTTATATCAAAATTACAATTAGCAAAATTAATATTACTGAAGATAATTTAACCTTTCATTCCGAACTTTGCTTGATTTTAAGCTATACATATTTTCGTAAATATGATTTAAACTCCTATGCGATTGCTTTAGAGAAATCTGTTTTGCATAATTTTTAAGTTTGTCGTCATTATATTTGAATTTCATAAATATCAATCACATCAACTACTCAAATACTTTTCACATTACAGTGCAGTGATGAAACCAGCGATCATTATTCGCCGATTATTTCGCGTAGTGAGCGTGTTCTAGCGGAAGGGAGTTCACCACGAATCCATCGACACCGTTATGGGAAGGTGAGTTTTTTATTAAACAGTAGCATCATAGGATTAAAAAGTAACTGCTGCGATTTATCACAGTTCATCATTATCATTTATGATAATTAATATAATACATCAAATGAAGACAGTATTGAGAGAAGCTGTGATGGACTGCGGAGATAATTATCAGTAAGAAATGATTAAATAATACAAGAACTAAGAAGTGTCCTTTTTTATTTGCTCAGGTTGAAAAGCAATTTTTCTCATATCGTATCTTTCAAATGTGAGTGATGAAGTATCAAATAATTTAATTTGCTGTGATAAATATATTCTTCATAAAAAGAAAGATATTTGATCATTCACATCCGAAATATGCGCAAAAATTAAATCTCTAAATGGTCTAGGAAGCTTTTTTTCATGCAAATAAGCTTGCATTAAGCAATTTCTATTAATTTTTGTACTTTTTCTTATTTTATCAAGTTTTCAAATATAGAGAGCAATTTAGAAAAATATTCTTGCTATTTCGTAGTACGGAATGATTTCGTTTTTCGATTACTAATTAATCACTGCATATTTGAAATTCGTATTTTATCAAGTTGGTAGATTATTTTAGCACAGTAAACTACTGATGAAGTTTTATTCTAAATTGGTGAATAACAATAAGGGCTCGAAAATTCAAAAAAAAAAAAGAAACAGTAGGCGACAAAAGTTTATAGACCCATAAAGTTAAAATTTTGAAACACTAAATTGTGTGGTGCACTTTTTCATTTTTTTTTCGTTTCCTTTTGCTTTGCCAAAGTTTTTCAGGAAAACTAAAATATATTTCGTTTCAAGTTTCCTGAGTCCAAAATAAAAAATTATGTTTCCGTGACTTGAACCAGCAGATTGAATGTACAGTGCTGTTTTTTAATTTGGCAAATAATAGCAAACTGCAATCATGTAATTAAGTTTAGTTTTTAAAGCTTGACAAAATTCTGTTCGCAAAGTAGGGAGATACTGAAATAAAAAATTTTAAGAATAGTTTTGTGCAAAATAATTGAAAGAAAAAATTTACTCATAAATGAACAAAGAATACAGTAGAATGATGTAGAGCCCAATTTGAAAAATTTTTTAAGACAATTTTCGCAAAATCTTTGCTTTTGGAGCTGTTATCTATAAAATTGGTCAAATGGTTTCTAGAGTTTCTGTTCACCTATAAATATTGGAGATTTTAATAATGACGACTATAATTATATGTCTGAATGTTTTAACTTCAGTTTAAGGCTTGAATTCACATTTCCTCAATTTTCGCTTTCTCATTTTGCACAAGCCCTCAAGACAGACGTGTAGAAAAAGACCCATCTACATTCTATTCTAAACGTCGATACTTTTCTAGTTCTGTTTCAGTAAAAATTGATTCTTGTTCTGTTTTGCCAGTTTTTTAACATCTAAAATTTTCATTTTCAGGAAGTATTTCTTTGAAGCATATTTTGGAGTTTTATGCAACACTGTTATTTTACCAGTAATAGGCATAGTCCATTAGCTTCCTAAATACTATTTACTATGTGTATGCCAAAGGTTTCATCAAATAAACTATATTCCATGTAATATTTTCCAATGCTTGTTGTTCCACGTACATTAATGACTAGTAGTATTTCATTGTGCAGAATTGGCGATCAATATTTTGCTCTGTTAATAAGCTTATTTACTTCTTCCGGATGAGATCATTAAAAAAATTAATTTATGGGAATTTGTAGTTTGATAAGACATCACAGATAAAGACGATTGTCTAACTTCACAAAAAATTAAGATTTTTTGCAATCATTTATCTGAAAATCTGTTTAAAAAAATTGAAGACTGAATCCATTGTATGTAAACTTGTCATATTCTGTGGATTTGTTTGGTAGAAACTAAATTTCCGATAAATTTGTAAAATCCTAAAAAAATTTTACTAATTTATATCATTATGTTGCATCGTAAGTTATTTTTTTAATTATTGTTTGAAGAAGTGAAATTTAGAAAAAAATAGAGCTTATTTAACTGTTTCTGCAAGCTTTGAAAAATTTTTTTCTAATCTCTTAATTTCTTGGTACAGTTAAAAAGCTTCAGGCATAAATTAAAAATGAGGTTAGATTTTCAAAATTGGAAAATGGTTCCTTAAAGTATTTTACTCAAATTTTTGATATAATTCAGTTTGCACTTTTGTTTCAAATACATCCCATCTAATCTGTTACGCTGTACTTTTCTTTAAGCTCGAAAATTGTCAACTCCTGGAATCACTTTTATTTTTAAGAAAAAAATGTAGGAGATTGAATTGTTTGAAAGATAAGACACAGTTGTAAATAGATGATGTAGTAATGAATATTTAGATGTATTAGTTTACGCGATAGTAAAGAGAATTTTTTGAATATTTCATCACATTAGGGTCAAATTTTTACAGCTCACTTCCATTGAACTTGACACTTGCTTTGTTTATGTTTGGAATTTAAATGAGCCCTTTTTATAAGATTCAAGTAGACGAAAAAAGAAAGTTTGTTGTTTACTTTTTTAAAAAAAACAATTTCATTTGTTTTTCAGTGAGCGGCCGAAATTATGAAGAATGAAGAAATGAATAAATAATTAATTAAATAAATGATTTTGTGTTTCTTATACTCAATTCCCTTTGCATAACTAGTGAATGCGAGAAAAAAAATTATCGATAAATGCCTGCTATTCTGTGACTATGATTCCGCATAATAGTGTGAAGAGAGAAAGGCCTGCCATCTTCACATCATTCATTCAGTTAGAAAAAAGCCTTAAATTAAGCTATAATTTATTTTAATCTATATTTCTTTGATCTTCACTCAGATTTCATTGGGAAAAGACAAAATGTAAATAATGCCTGTCAATACTTCTTTATGGACAACTCTACCTCTTACCTCTATGTTAACAATTTTTTTTGTGCTTTTTTTCTTTGCAAGTAACTGCTTCCAAAATAAATAAGCACTGAAAATTTTAATTTTGTGATGATATTATATTATATTCGTTGACTATTAACAATACATCAAATGATATTCTTACCGTCTGATCTGAGATCTGAGCCAGAGCCATATTGAAGAATTATTTCTTACATTTATTCGTCAATCAATATTTATGAAGAGTACATTTTTCAATTTTTTTTTCTAAATGCATTTGCTAGAAAAAATATGTTTGTTTCAAATTTTTGATGAAATCAAATAAATAAGGTCAAAACTTGCAAAGCAGTTACTGCATTGCTTTTGTTTGTTTTTTCAAAGTACTTTGTTTAATACAAGTTTTGCGTTAGATTGAGCATATAATAAGCACAAAACCAAATCGTTAATAAAATATTAAATTTTAGATTGATTCATATACATCAAGCGAAGAAACTGTTTGGTTAGGTGCTACTGAATATCGCCGTCAGCATCCACAAGTTTGCACTTTGTGCTTATTATGACCTCGGAAAAAGTTTAGTAAGAGAGTGAGGGACCATTTGACCTCGGAAAAAATTTAGTAAAAGAATGACGGGCCAAAAAGTATAGAAAAACAAATTTGAAAGATTTCGTCAGTTCTTCTAGATTTTTGCCCATTTAAAATGCCAGGTGAGTTGAGAGAATTTGCTGCTATTGTGACGCAGTTGTAGCTTTTGTTACGATATTCTATCAGCGATATCTGTAACTGCTAGATTTTTGAGTTTCAAATACTTCTTTTCATCTAATTTTATTTCCAGAATATTCTTTAATTTCTGTCTGTACTAAAATACTATCGCAGCAAATTTATGAAAAATCTACTCTTTAAATTTTTAGGCTATCATTAATTTTTTAAATATTTCGTTTATTGTCATTACGTGTAGTCATGATAATATTATTTGTATGGAAACTACATCATTGCAATTAGTAACAGTCTCGTCATTAGCTGTAGTAAATAAGAGTTATTAAATCAAAAGGATTTGGGCATCATTCTTAAAAACTTTACTATCTACTGTATTAAAATCACTACAGTTTTTACTTAAGATACATTTTGTATTTAGCTAAGGCTCAAATTTACTTTTTTTTCCCGTAAGTAAAAAATGATTCGTTTTTCGCCTAATTAAGAAAGTAGTCAAAATCAGCATCGTAAATCTTATTATTTACATTCATCATTGATTTTATTACCGTGAGATTTTGCTTACACATTTGCTGATATCCTTCAGAAAATTGAACTTACAGTTGTAAAAGTTTAAAATTAAACTAAAAGCAATTTTACAAATGATAAAAATTAATTAAAAGAGAGTTCATTGATAAAAACTTCATTCAATTTACGTATTCCTGGAATTTATTTGAGACAAAATCGCTTTTCAGCTTTAGTTGCCAACTGAATGGCAATGAAACTGGAAATACTTCTGAATTTAATTAATTAAAAATACGTTTTTTCTCAATGTTTTCTCCTTGCAAACTTATTAGCAGAAAAGATTGAGGGTGGTGGGAAAAGTTTTATAAGATTTTGCTAAATGATTTTTAGTTGGAAGTTCTGCTTTTAAATAGCAAAAAATTAAATTTATATGTTACTTTTGTATTTTATTGTCTTTCGTTTGGTGCATTTTTGCATCTCTTTACTTCAGTTTACTATTATTTTATTTTACTCTTCTCAACTTTTTCATTGATTGTACTTCATCATCTTTTGATGTAAATTAACCAAAGAGTCCTTCGAAGGCATTCTTCGGATTTTCATTTTCCGTTTTTTTCCTGTTCCATGTCAATGACTGCTTCTATTTCAGGCTTATTATCCAACATCAGGTTCATTTACTCCATCCACGCCTCGTGCGTACAACACATCTCTGAACGGAGTGAGTATTTTTGAAATACTTCGTACTTCTATTTTCTGCAACTTTCTATTCCATCAAAAACAGTATTAAGCATTTTTTTCGGTCTAATCCTTTTTTAAAGGTTTTTTTTTGATCAGTCTGGGAACTTAACGTATTTTTTTGAACTTGAAAATATTTTCTGTTAGCACAACTTTTTTGTTTACTGTCGCTAAGCCATATTTGAAGAATATAAAGTACAGAAACTGCAACTTAATCTTGCTTTAATTTTTCTATTCTGAAAGATTTCGGTTCTCATTGTATAGTACTCTATTAATTTTCTTAATTCCAAAAAAAATGATGTAGATATTTGAGTGCTAAAATATTCCAATATTGAGTATAAATTTTGCTAATTGTTGTTTCATTACGCATTTCCTGGATGAACCGCTAATTTGACTCGTTTCATGTCAAGACGTTTTCCTTATGAATATTAGATGTAATTTCAATTTTAAGCAATAACTTTAGAGTTATTTATCAATGACCAGTTGGTCCCCGTGCTCTACTCGTTCTGTGTCACCTTGTGGTTCATCACTTCATTTGCATGGTTCATGGGCACATGATGTCGTCTATTTACCACCTTGCTTGGAACGATCGATCAAAATTCAAAAAGGAGCCCTTTCTCTCGGTGAGTAACATTTCCTTGTACACTCAACTAAAAAGTTTTTTCAAATACACTCACATTACTTTGAAGTATTTATTTTGATAATAATTTTGCAAATAATAAGTAGACAAAGCATTGATTGATGCTTGTTTCAGGTCTAGTACTCAATGTAGAAGTAGATAAGAGTATTAATGGTTGTCAGGTGAAGAGTATTTGCAGTAAAAAAGCTGTAGGACGAGATGGCAGAGTTCAAGTAAAACATTACAAGTTTTTCAGAACATTTATAGAGTCGCAGAATTTGTAAAATAATTATTCATTGTTAATATGCAGTACTTTTAATCAATGGGTTGCAAAAAATAATCGGATATATAAGTTCCAAAAAAATATAATATTGCACACTCATTACAGGTTAATGACTATATAGTGAAAGTGAATACGGAAAGTTTACGTAATGTAACAAATTCACAAGCACGAGCTATTTTAAAAAGAACAAATTTAATTGGCACACACTGCAAGTTTGTTTTGTTTATTAATTTATTAAGTATTGAAAGTAAGGTTTTTGTTACAAAAATTTTCCTCAATAACAGATTTGTCGTACAATTCCTGAATAACAAAGATTTTTTGCGACACAACTGTGAACATGAATGATCACTGTTTTCGTTCGTAATTTACTATTTGTTTCAGTCATTTCAAATAAAATCAAATTTCATGTTTAAAATACTTTTATTTCAAACGATTAAAACATTGCAAACCAACTGAATTATTTCAATTACTTTAAATAAACATATTTGAAGAAAAAAATTTTATTTTAACTTTAAAGTTTTTATTTTGAAGATAATGACTATTTTGATAATCGTTTGAAACTAGTATTTTTACAAATAGCAAGGCAAAGTATTTCATTATCAATATCCTCGAAAAAAAATTTTGGTCAGTTTCAAATTTAATGGAATGGACCTCTTTTGCTTTCTGAGTATGATGTTTGAAAATTTTATATATTTATTCATTTCTCTAATTCAGTAAGTAACCAAACTTTTCACTAAATTCTTATGCAGTAATCAAAAGTTTTTAAAATTTTTTTTACAAAATAAATAAAGGAATTCGAGAAATTAAGAAAATCATTAAAGCTTTAAATGAAGTAATAGCAGATTTAAAAAAATATAGGAAATAAAATGAAAAAAAAAAACAAAAGCATCAAGCAAATTGCATGTATAATTAAATGTAACGACATTACTTAGTGAAAAGAAGAGGGAAAAAAAAGTCAAAACGCAAGATATAATTTCAAAAAACCTATAAACTTTTCTGAAAGCTGAAGTCACTCAACACGAAGGATCAGTATCCTTATATCATTTTGAAAATTTCTGTATTATTTCAGTATAACATATATTACTGCCTCAGACGCGAAACTTTGGAAAGAAAGATATCATCAAGATACCGACTCTCAGTTACCTGTAGTCAATAGGCTTTCACCGAAGTAACTGTAATACTAATCACAAATTGAAACAATTTCCATTTCTGTTCATCTTATTGACTTAATCGTGTTAACACGAATTTATACATTTTATTGTAACTGAAAATAACTCTCTATCGTAGTCAGTATATATATATGAAAAGTGAATTGAAAAAGCTCTTGCACTTTTCCATGTTTATTACACACACTGCCTTTTACTTTTATTTGGTTGTAATAAAATTATGATAATTGAATAAAAACAAATTTACAAATCAGAATCTAGATACTTATTGACCTGTTGATTTAAAAAAAAAATTATTGCTTTTTAGAGTTTTCCCAAAATTCTATCGTAGTCCGTATATAGAACGAAAGCAAATGATGGGTATTAAGCGAGAAGGTTCATCAGATAGCGATGCACAAAGTTTAACTCATTCTGTTTCATCCACTACTTCTTCATCAGTCAAGAAGTCTTTTTGCAGTTTCATCGATGATACTAAATCAATTCAGAAATTTGCATGCGACTTTGTACAGGTAATATTTATGTAATAAAAGTGAAATTACAATATCCATTATGGAGTGATTTTATTAATTTCCAACCTCAATCAATTGCACATATTTTAATTACTAAAGATTTTTCTTAAATATATATATTTATATGCCTTGAACCACAGTAATTATATGATTGTAATCTTTATTGCTAATATTTTATAATTTTTTTAATAATTTCATATGATGACTGCATAGTATACTGTTGTATGCTAACAACATGACACGATTTTGAACTAAACATTGTAGCAATGTGCTAGAAAGCTTTGTTTCGGAGATATAATGAGCTGCTATAAAGAACAGAAATCAACTTGAAAAAAGTTTATTTTTCTATGACTTTGACCTCATAGTACATTTGTTTTAAAAGCTTCGCTAAAAAAGTTATCATTTCATTGAGTGTGTCACAAGCTAAAGAAAGTTAAAAGCAGTTGAAAAAAGCTTTTAGGTTAGCTGAGGGTTGACATTTTTGGCCCAGACATTCGACTGCCTTTACTTTCGCTACCATTTCTTCCTTTTTTACTACCTTTGTACTAAACGTGTAAAAACTTCTTCACTTTTTGGCTTTTAAGTATCGTTGAAAGTATTTTGCTTTCTTTGTTACATTTTTTTACCTTCTTTGAGTTCACCATTCACAATAAAAGGTTTTAGTTTGCATACTCATACTTTTCAGAAAATTTCAATTCTATTTCATGCTAAATCTTTCTTTCTCAAAATATTGCTTAGTGTAATAAATGTTTTCATAAGGTGTACAATTTCTTGAGCATTTATTTTTATTTTCAGCTTACTTTTTGTGTATTTTTTTTACAGGCTATTTTAAATGATGTATTGCTAGAATTGACTGTAGTTGAACATGTATCAGAGCGGACGAATTATGGCTCTACATGTAGGGATCGAGAACCTTCATTGAGTGAATTAATTGAAACTAAACCTTCAACAAGTGCTGCCCTTCCAAAAGTTTGTTTTCTCGATATATAAGTGTACAATGTATTTCCTAAAATTTTGTTTTCCATATTTTCACTATCTTCCAAAGCGATAAATATTTCAAATAAATGATGGTGTCATCCAATCATCCAGCTAAATTTTATTTGCTTCTTCATTAGCACTATTCCATTGCTCTTTACTTTTCACTTCACCTACTTTTTCCGTACTATTATTAACATTTTCGCTCGCTTCATTTTCTCTAAATTTTAATATTTTTGAATTCTAGTTCATAGTAATAATAAGAATAGTTATTATTTTTTAACTTTTATCATTTTCATGTTGTTCTAGAAATGTTCACGTAGGGCTAAATATGAGATCATCACAAAGTAATTTAAAAAATACTACAGGTTCTGAGGCAGTCTACGTTACAGTTCACCAGTAGATCACATCAATCGGAAATATTTCGTAAAAAGGACGAAAAGAACGAATCACCATTTTCTGATGCCTTAATGAGACATGAAGAAACATGGCAAGAAAACAATGAGCATTTTATGATTCCTACTCATGAAGCAAATTATTCTTACTTAACAGACAAAATGTTAATAATTAATTTTCTTTAATTCAACATTTAAAAATTATGATGCAGAGAACGGTTGATAACTTTACCAGTTGTATTTGTTAACCAGATTATATTCCAAAACTGCTGACTATTGGTTATGAAATTTTTCTACGTATTCACTGAATCTGATTATGTTAGCGCAGTTAAAAAGTACTACGAGAAGCATCTCATCAATAAAATTAAAAAACGCGATCTAATATTTGATCAGCATTGCAGCAAACGTGTTGTTTCAAAATTATTGTCATTTCGCAATATAATTATTTTCAGTTCTCTCTCTCCAGTGGAAAATGCTTTGAACTTGGAAAACCTTCCTTTGTCACAGATATCTCGGAAACCTAAAGAATATGAACATAAAGATTTCAGACAAGGAAGTTCAGTTGAAACATATTTGATTAATTCATCAGTTGCTACAGTTTCTTTAGAACCATCATCACCTTCCTCGACACTGACAGAGGTTTTGATACTTTAACCTTGCTGACTTTTGCGGAATGCTTGGAAATCTTTTAGAATTCAGTTTCCATAGGAAATGTATTTGCAATAACTAATACAAGTTTTGACAAATTGTACTAAAATTGGTAAATGCTATCGATATTTTATTGCTTTAATCCACAAAAGTGTGTTGCAGCCTATTCGATCGAGCCGTTCTAAGTTCTGGGGTCAAGCAAGAACAGTTGTGCTTCATCGCGAACCTAATCACTCCTTTGGTAATTTCATTTAGTGCTTTTTCATGAAAAATTTGTTTTAATACCAAAAGTTTACATGGAAGACTTTGCTATTTTTCAGCTTAGATGTTCAATATTTAATGCAGTTTACGAAAATCAAAAATGACAAGATCCAATTATTATGTTGTTGATATCATTCAAAATTTTTCTAAAATAGTGATTTTAGGTATAAGTATTGTTGGTGGACGTGTCGAGGTAAGTCAAAAAGGGGATGAGCCTGGTGTGAATAGCACTGTCTCGGGTATTTTCATCAAGTCAGTTTTACCCAATTCACCTGCGGGTCTTTCAGGGATGATGAATATGGGTGATCGTGTTATCAGTGTGAGTATTCTGGAAATTAACAGAATTATTGCCTTGTAATTGACACGTTATACATTTACGTCGGTCATTCACTTAGTCAATTAATTAATTGCAAAAACAGTCGACTAGAGTGTAAAAAACTAACCAAAATTCATTATTAGAAACTTTAAATGAATAATCTGAAAATTTTCAGGTAAATGATCAGGACTTGCGTCGAGCAACTCATGAGCAAGCTGTTCAGGTCATTAAAAATGCCAAGAACCCAGTGAAATTTGTTTTACAAAGCTTACATAGCTTTACACCACATCAAGTATGTTCTTTTTCAGTAGTAATTTCTTTTAATTTTTGAACTTTGAAAAAAAAGCCGTTTAGTTTGCATATTTGGAATTGAATAATTCGTTTGTTTCCTACTACTGCTTTTTAATGACTTCAGTAACGTTTATTATAACCAGAAAATTATTATTTGCAATTTATTGTTTCTAGACAAACGTTGAAGATAACAGAACTGAAGAAACTGTTATTCACTCTGCAAAAAATAAGGAAGATGAAGGAAATCATGAATTCAAACTTGATGGTTCAACAATTGATACTACTTATGAATCAGTCAAACCAACCAGTGTAATTGCTTTTACCTTTTTTTCCACTACCGCTGATTTTTATTTTATTAGCACTTCGTAAAATTAATTTTCAACAAGGTGTATTTAAATATTGTGCTCTTCTTTCTTATTTAGTACTGATCTATGCTGTCTTATTGCCTCAGCAGTTCTTGAAAAGAATCTTCAAAAAGTGTGCAGGATATTAAACTTCAACAAATTATTTTTCTTTACATTTGTTCTTATTTCTTCTCAGTTTTCAAAATTGAAATTTGTCGAAGCAATTTTTTTGGCTCCATGTTTGAAACTTCATTTCCCTATTTGAATCTTTGAACTTTATTTCATCTTAATTTCATAAGACCAAAATTTATAAAACTGCTTCCTTCATATTATTTAATTTATACACACTTTATTTATCTTCATTTTGTCGCCAAATTTATTTTTCGGAATTTGGAGTATTCCATAAACTAATTTATTTTGATTCAGGATAGTGCTATAATAACGAATTCTGAAGATGCACATGTGCAGTTTCTAGATTCTTCAACTGTAGGAAGTTTTCTGGAAAAAAAAGAAAGTTCTAGTGCATTGAATAACGAATGGCGACTTGAAGACGAATTTAAAGGAGAAGTTAGCGAAATAAAGGTATTATCTTAACGGTGTCTTGCTATCTATATGAAATTTTAAATCGCTGGAAAGAAAACGTATATGAGTAGAATTTTCGTTTTCCTCTTTATAAGGTCTAAAAAATTTTAAGCTTCATAAATTACAGTATTTTCTTCTTTGTACATTTCGTAATAAGATGAATTTATAAAAATTCAAGGAATTTTCAATTAAATTGAGTTTGCTGCGAAATAACGAGAAAATTAATTAGAATTTGTTTGCACTGCTCAAGATGACTGTCGTATGAAATCTAATATAATTTTTGAACTGAAAAGTTTCAAGTTTTGAAACTGGACAATTTGCATTTTGAAACTGTCGTGCTAGAATCGCATGATGTATTCGTTTGATCCACAGCTTTATTTTAGAAGGAGAAAATTGGTGAAATAAAAAAAGAGAATGTAGAACTTTTCAAAAAGAGCAGCCTTCGTGATTCCAATCGTAAACGTCATCTGATGCGTCGAAAACCTGATCCAGATAGTGCAGCTGCATTGCCTAAACGCGATACTGATCTAGAAGAAGAAGATGATTTTCTCTACACAAAAGGTGTTTATTGAGATCGCGAATCAACAGCAAATGCTTTAATTATAACTACTGGATTTCTGATCGATTGTTTAGACTATTCAGATTTGAAAACATTATTTTAATATTTAAGCATAATTGCTGTATCATTTAGACAAAATAGCTCGAAAATATGGAGATTTACCGGGCGATATGATACTGCTTAAGCTAGATAAAGTACCGTGTGGTGGCCTAGGATTATCGCTTGCTGGAAACCACGACCATAACCGGATGAATGTGTTTGTAGTTGCAGTGCGATCAACTTGTCCTTTATCTGTAAAAATCGGTGATGAACTATTTGAGGTAAATGAAATCTTTACGAAAAATTAAAAGGATATAATAAAAAAAGTTTATGAATATTTTTACCTGGAAGACTGTTAATTTTAATTTAATTACCTATTAAATTTTTATGTGATTTGGATAAGCTTTTCGTTCATAATTACTGCAAAATAAACCTTCGTTGATTAATCTTTTTTAATGAAATAGAAACGATATGTATAAAGTTAAAAAGCTTAATGTTTTGGTGAGAAAAAAAGCTAATACAAGTTTATATAGTTTAAATCACTTGTTAGACATTAAAGAAAAACTGAAACTGATATCGGAAGTGTAGGTGAATGGAAAGGTGCTTATCGGTTTGACGCATCTGAATGCTTCCGCGATCATCCGTGAATGCTGTGAAGACGGAATTTTAGAGCTGTTGCTACTGAGAAGGTTCGAGACCATGGTAATTCTTTCACAATTTTTAATGCTTCCACAAATTTGTTTGTAGTCACAGAAAATAGGTAGAAAATGCTGCTTACTGGCACTAAATATTTAATAAAATTTTTTTTTCTCTCTATCCTTTTTCCCGAAATAATGCACACTTGTGTAGGTATAAGTCATCTCATTTAGAATTTAAAATTGCATAAAATTTGTCAATAAATAATCGAGATGATTTCTTATCATTGGACGCCTCACACTAATTATTTCCATCCTTATGTTCAGTTACAAAGTATAATTTTGACGGAAATCTTGGTATTTGAGTTCTGCGCTATATGTCCTTTCATTTTTCATCTCATAGTGTTTCTGCTTCTTGCAAAAAATCTGAATGGAAAATTTATTCGCCCAAGTAAATTAGTTACTTTCAGTTTGATGAATCGCTTAGAGTTTTCGATAAATGTATTATTTGAGATGTATTTCTATTACATTTCCGAGAAATTATATGAGATTAAGTAAGGTTTTTTCTCCTGTTTTCACAAAAAATACTTGTGGTTCCTTAGAACAGCTTAAGATGCAATTATAAATGTTTACAAATAAAATGTCGCTATCATACTAGCAGTATTGCTTTTTCTGTTAAGTCTTTATTGCTTCGACTTTTTGTAAAGAAAGTGCACTTTTATCTCAAGCGGTCGCCTAACGCTGCTTTCTTTAAGAAAAAAAGGTTCGCTTCAAGTTTCTGCTTTCTATGTCATTCGTACTAATCCTAATCAATAAATCCTAAACTATAAAACACGATTTTCAGTTATCCATAACGAAGATTCACCATCGAGTCAGTTAAAATATGTAGTTGGTGTAAATTGTCCAGTGCTTTAAGTTCTTTTCGTTAGTTGTAATGAATGAGTAGATAAAAGTCTTATTTTTGGAACCAAATATGTACATGTGCACTGCAGAAGAGATGAGATTGCTGAAAGATAATATTTTGAGAAGATCAAAAATTGAAGATAGTAAAGCATATGAACCATTTTTTCATTTGAAAAGTGGAGGAGAAATTGAAAAAACGCAGTATTTGAGTTAACTGTAATCATTTAAAAACAAAAAGGAACATAATTGCAGTTATTCAAAAATAACAAAACAAAATCTTAAATAATAAGAAAAGGAATTATTTAGATAGGCATTGTGTGCGCAAAAATTTTCTAAGGTAAATGATACGATTTTTCAATTAAGCAATGTAAAATTTATTTATTTGTTTATTTATTTATTTATTTATTTTAAAACTTCCTGAATGTAAAAAAAATTTCTTGGCTTTACTTGAAAAATTCCTTGCAAGTCATACTAAAATATGAGGTGAAATCACTAATTGCTTAGCATAAAAGTTTGAAACATACGAGATTGCAATTACCTATCAAATAATGTGTTTGTTTGCTTTCCTAGTGAAAGTGAACGAGATAGATTACTGTCATTTATTGTTGAGATTCACTTTATTTGATATAAGATCAAAAGGAAGATATGCGTTGAAGTATGTATATCAACAGAAAGCAGCAAAAAAATAGTGAACGATTGCACGATCAACAGTGCATAGATTTTTTAAGACCTGTTTATTATCTCACAAAGATAAAGGCCATTTAATTCAAGCAAGGCCTTTTTAGGCTTCAAACCTATGTCCTTCTCTTTCTCGGCATAAATCGATTTTAATCTTGCTTTCCGTTTTTATTTTTATTATGGCTTATGTACTTCTACATATATTAAAAATGACTATTCCAAAAAAAAGCATTATAAAAAAGCCTTTTTCCACAAGAGTACTTCTGGATGGCATTTTATTCAGACTTTCATCATGCTACCTTTTTAATTTGCCTTACTTCATTCGGCTCACTGACTTGAAAAATCAGTAAATTTGCACTACTTCTTCCTTTCTACTTTCCTCCTGATTTTTTTTTCAAATTTTCTTTGCCTTTACCAGTGCTGCATAAATTTGTTTACTATTTCCTAAGTTGACTTAAACCATTTTATTGCAGCATTTATCAGTATTTTAGTTTGTAGCTTCAGCATTTACCATTACATATAATGTTTGTTATTATACTTCTGATGTGTTATACCTGCTTATTAATACTTTCCATGTCACCAACTCCGACGAATTCTTTCTTCTCACTGTGGATAATGCAAAGCTCTTTACCTCTTATAATCCCTTTATAGTTTGCTTACGTAAGATTAAAAATGTTCTTAGACAGTATAAAATTGACAAGGCAAATCCTTTGCCATTTTCAAAATATTTTCAGTGTCGTTTTAAAGCACATGCACACATTTTCCAGTTTAAATACGCTTTTTATTCGTACAAATCTTTTCATTCGAACTTAAAACTCAATAACGATTCCGAAAACTGTTTTCTGCAAAGGCAGTTCATTCTCATAAAACTATTGACAACTGCAATTTAGTTGTTTTAAAATTTGAAATGAAAAAATCACTGCTGTTTGGGTAAAATAAGTTATTCCAGTAGAGGTGGCAGTACTTACAAAAGTTTAATTTAAAAACTTTTTAAATTAATTTTTAAAATAAAAATAAAACTTTTATTATTTTGAAGTATATGATATATGAACGAGTACTTTGAACATTGGAAATTTTCAGAACTTTCGCCCAAAATCTCACATCATACCCGTTTTAAGTAATTTAGCTCGTGCAATAATTAAAATCACTCGCATTTTTCGTATTTTTATATTTTATCTGTATCATTTTTAAACTTCATCCTTACTTTTAAATAGCCAATTTAATAAAATTGAGCTTGAAAAAAAAAAGATTATTGACAATTATTAATAAATTTAATGCAGTATTGAGCTTATTGTTACTGCTAGTTTCATAGTTTGTTTTTATATTTGAAAATTCTGAAATGATTGAAATAGGTACTTTGTGGTATCACAGTTCTGATTAATCAGAAGATTTTGGTCTACATTTAGATAAGAGATAGTTCTATAAGCAGATTATGGTTGGTATGTTTAATTAATAACGACTAATTCTACTTAAATTTTTTTTTTCATTTTTATACATTTTAATAGCTTTGAAAACGTTTGAAGGAATCAATGAGATTATCATACATGTTAAATTCCAAAAACCTAAAAAAAGTTATAATATTTTACTAGATTCTGTATGGTATATTTATAGAAACAGCATGAAATGCATTATGTTTAAAATGCTTTAAACAGTGCGCTTTCATCATCTTTAGAATCATACCAAACTGAGATTGAAAATATTAAAAGTTGTAATTGAGCTTATTCTGAAGTTCATGTTTATATTGCTAGTTTCCAAAACGTATTCAGGCATTGCTAGGATTTCAAAGTAAAGATTTTATTTTATAACTTTTACATTAGAAACCTTGATATAACCAATCATTTACAGGCAATTACTCTGCAGTCTGTAAAAGCAACGGATACTGATACAGAGTTGAATGAGTACTATGCAACTGCAAAAGAACTTCAGATGAGTGGTAGTGAAAAGAATATACAACTGTCAGGGGAAAGTAATTGGGTTTTGTGATTATTTTATGATATTTTGAAATTTTGGATATATTGCATACATGGTGTGTAAAATTTTTCTTTTTAAATAAAATAGTAAATTTGAAGTTTCATCTCTTACTTGTTTATAAAAATATCAAATTTTTTACTATAGATGCTCAGAAAAAATTGCCATTAGATGAATCAGTAACTGTTATTGAAACGGGGCGTGAAACTGTTATCGAAATTGATAAAGATGGAAAGGTAAACGAGCATCTTTACATATTTGATTGATTCTCCTAAATTATTTACTAGAAAATTTGTAAATTTCTGTGCACAGAATCTCATTAGATTCATATAATGCTACGTGAGGATAAATTTTAAATTCTTCATAAGCATATAAGTTTATTTTTCTTGATGACTGCTGAAAAAAAAATGATGAAAGTAAGTAAAGTTTTTAGTCAAGAGTAAGTTCAAGAAAATTGAAGCCGAAAGAGTTTAATTTACCATGAGATAAGCTTGTGATTATTTTTGTTACAAGCAGCAACAAATTTCTGATATTGTGTGGATAATTTCTTCAAATTTTTTCTGGACACAATTATTTGTTTGCTTTATTTTTTGTTCAATAGCTTTTTAATTTTAGGGTTTGGGATTAAGTATAGTTGGAGGTTCAGACACAGTATTGGGTACAGTAGTAATTCATGAAGTATATCCAGATGGTGCTGCAGCAGTTGATGGTCGGTTAAAACCTGGTGATCAGGTACTTGAGGTGAGTGTTTTAGAAATGTTATTGATGAAAGCATTTGCGTTATAAATAATTTTTATTATTCAGGTAAACGGGATATCACTACGTGGTGTAAGTCATGAACAGGCCATACTACTCCTTAGAAGGACACCAGCTAAGGTTCTCATTTCTGAAATTTGAAATTTTCTCTGCTTTATTATTTCAAATCTGTGCGTACACATATATATGGTGTGACAAGCACGTGACTCAGTGAAATACATCATTCCTTTTGTTGTAAAAAAATTTCCAATTAACTGAACTCGATTATATATTCATTTGTCCAATCTCATTGCTTTAACTGTATACAAAAATAAAGCATGTATTGTCAATCACTACTTGTTTATTGACTTGGGAAGTCAAAAATTAAAATATGTGGACAAAAATAAGCCAGTTTTAGGTTCGTTTACTCATTTACCGTGATGTCAATCTGCAGCTATCATTATTAGATCCGACCCAAATTTACAATATTTTTGAGATGGAACTGACAAAAAAGCCAGGTCGAGGACTTGGGCTAAGCATAGTAGGACGAAAAAATGAGCCTGGTGTTTATGTTTCGGAAGTGGTCAAAGGCGGAGCTGCAGATACCGATGGGCGTTTAATGCAAGGCGATCAGGTCTATTCTTGCTACTGAAATTCTCAAAACTAAATTTCAACTTTCTTCAAAGGGAAACTGTGGTTTTGTTTCGTTATTTGTTGAAAATTTATCTCATCGTTTCTAATTTCATTGTGGTTAATTTCATGGTTATAAGAAAAGTAACAGTGTTCTGCATTAAGTTATACAGAAAAGTACAAGAGATTTAGATATTAGCGGTCAATGGTCAAGATGTGGCGAGTTCAATGCAAGAAGATGTGGCTACAAAGCTGAAGGTATTTATTGTTTGCAGTTCGTGAATAATTTCATTTTTAACTAGCTGATTGACTAAATACCGATTAGAAAGTAGCAGTTATTATAAAACTGTTGAGTGTATTACGAAAATTAACAGATTCTAGCAGTCGTGTCTGTAGGCATGCATTACTTACTGCATCGGAAGGATTTTCGTTCTCGAACTTGATTGTTTTGCTACATATTCAGCGTAAAAGTTAGGAAAAATTGAATAGTGTGGTGGAAAATAATGAATCACGAGTGACTAAAGACAGTGTCGGAAGTTAGATGTTATAATCAATACTTAATCTCTTTAAAAAGTTTAATTTGAAGTTTAATACTTATGCTATCACTTTACTTCTAACATATATTCTTTCCAAAGCTATATTTTTGCTACTAAAAGTTATTTCCAAGTTATCTATTCCAGTACTTGAGAATATTATAGGCTTGTACTGGTCGTGTAACGTTGAAAGTAGGGAGATGGAAACTTACAGAAGCAGCAAATAAAGTGCACGCGGCTACGGAAGCAGCCTTATCCAGTAATAATCGTCATATTGGTAGGCCTGTTCAACCATCGAAATTACACACTACACCTGAGATTAACTTGTTTGAACCATGTAACGGTTGGTACTCTAAAGTGCTCATGTAAATTCCATTTTAATTTATATGAGCCATAGCTGATGCAAATCATTTTTAAGCTCAACTTTTCTCTTTATTTTCCACCACTTAGTACGAAATTGAGTTCACAATTTTAGCGTTATAAATAAAACCTTTTGCAATGTTTGATTTCATTTTTTTTTCACAGAAAATAACGCAGTAGTGACAGCAATTGATTGCCGAAGATCTGTACCACTACCTGCTCCTTTATCCACTTCAAAATCCCAAATATCAACATGTGAGCAAAGCCAGCCGTCACAAGTTGTTCATGCTGACTTATCACCAGTAATTGAAGAAACAAGTAGTGGAACAGACCAGGTTTTTTACATCGGAATTTTTTAAAAAATTAATATTTTTAAGCGTACTATTAATGTTTGAGCTTTCATATTTAAGATTTAATTTCATTGATTGTAGAGATCACTACTTGATGAACAAGAGCATTGCTCAATGATCAATCCAAGTCAGAATAAAGAAGTTGAACTCATCAAAGACCTGAACGAAGAAAATAGTGATTCACTGTTAGTAATGCTGAAGAAAATCCCAGATCAGCAGTTGGGTATGGGAATTGGAAAGCGCGCTAGGGGAATTTTAATCACATCTTTGCAACCTGGCAGTGTTGCAGCTGAGAAATTGAAAATTGGTGATCGCTTAATGGCGGTCAATGGTGTGACAATAACAGATCAGGTTCACTGCACACTTTTTCTACAATTCTTTTCTAGTTTTTTGAATTTTCATTTTTTCTCTTTGGAAAGTAAAATAATAAACGATGAAATCAGTTGAATCTCGTGAACAAACATTTTTTTTAAATTACTACAACTCAAATTATCAAATTTAATAATTCTCTTTTTCAAGAAATTGTGTTTTTCTACTTAGCTTTTATAAAGAAGTAAAATTTATTCAAGAATTTTTTGATTAAGAATGCTTTTTTTTTTTCCAAAAATTTTTCAATTTGAAATCTCAGATTGGCATACTTTCAGAAAAAAAATAAAATAAAATTTTAGCTCTCTGCAGTAACACTGGTGAAAGCGAGTGACGAAAAATTATGGCTTCAACTAGCGCGACCAAGGAATTTTCGTGAAATTAGATAAATTCAAATAGTTTAAATCCAATTTCCATAGTTATTGCATTAAATCAATGGACACATTCGGTAATTGAGAGGGTGCTATAATTTGCATGCCTCATTCCATATATTTCAAGATAAGTGATGGCTAAATATCAGCGCTATATTTCTTGGACAAACTCGAATTTCAAATATCTCAATCATGTTTTCAGAGATAACTTTCATGATTGTTAGAACATTCATTACTGTTGATCTCTACCGACGAAAAATCATAAAAATTTATTGAAAATGTGGTAAAATATCAATATATCACTGAATATTCAAAAGGATAATTGTCAAACATGCAGCTATATCTTTTTGTCTTCAGTAATTTTCAAGGTGACTTGTTTTTACTGTATAGTAAGGTCATCAAATTATTTTGATGAAAGATAAAAATTCGTATTAATTCTAAAATTAGCATTTGTTTATTTCACTGATTTTGCTTAAAATAATGATAGACCATTATTATAAATATTTATCATTATCATTATTATTATTATTATTATTATTATTATTATTATTATTATTCAACTACTATTGTTATTATTATTCATTACTACAAATATTGATATTGTTATTATTATTTATTACTATTACTGTTGCTATTAGTGATATTATTGAAATATTGATATGATGACTATCCTTATTTCCTGATGATCTGTGGATGATTATTATTGTTGACTTTTGATGCGAGTCTGTCTCATAAACTCAGTACTTCAGCATTGTTTTACTCTTACAAAGAGTCTTGACTAACTTTTATCGCTCTTCATTCTTCCCACCAAATTTACAAGTTGATATGCAAATAATTTACTTCAAACGAGATCCAAAATATTATGATGTGACTGCTAAAATAAGTTATTGTCAAATTGTTCTTAACCACAAAATTTGATGTAATAGGATACCGCAGTTTTAATGATTTATTTTCATATACTGTGCATTAAACTTAAATGCGCACTAATGTTATTTTTAAGAAATTAGTTTTGCTACAAAAATTATATGTGAACTATTCTGTAAAATTAGAAGCCTCATATTATAAATTTTATTTTTTGGAACTATAAAGAACGTGTGATATCAGTAATCACAGTTTAATATGATTAATTTATATCGTGTCAAGTTAGAAAAGGAAAAAACATTGGATTTATGAAAGTAAGGGTAATCGACTAATGTAAGACTTGAATTCCACTGGTTACTGGAAATAAAAATAAATTTTTTCCTATAATTTATGTCATTTCTGACTTCTTTAAATTTAAATTAGTGTAAGCACTAATTGGAATTCGAGAAATTAAACTATATCATACTAAATGTTAGGTGACTTTGGAAAGACATACTTTTAATTCATTTTCTTTTTTTGTGAACAACGACTATGACGCCAATTTTAATCTCGTATGTAATGAGAACGATGTAAATCAAATCGGTATGACAATCTCAACAAGTTTTCAATATTGGTAGATTTGAATCGGGATATAAAATATTCAATTTAATTAAGCAAATAAATGAAGTTTGAAAGGATTTTAAAGTCTGAAAGAATAGAAATTTTCCAGATTTAAATAAGCAATGATGATATGAGCATTTTGTTCAAATGTGATCGTGATACAAAAATTGCTGATAAAGAGACAGTCGTAGTTTAAAAATCAACTTTATTTCCATATCTAATGTTCTTCCACTTTTTTAGAAAGCTGGATTCCAAAATAATTTTCTTGTAAGTATTTGCTCCACCGTTTTATTTGTTTCTTGTCAACAAAGAATTTCGTTTCATTTTCAGATGACGAAAATGAAAGCATGATTTTAAAAAGTGCATTTTAAAAGTGAGTGATTCATTGTACTTCTATAGATATCAAAAATTTGAAGGAAGACTAATAAGAATGAATTGAATATTGTTTGACTACAAGTTACATGCAGTCAAATAGTGCAAATTTACAATAATAAAGTGCGACTTCAAAAAAATTTGAATTGAGGCAAGTTTGTTCTGGCTTATGAGTGGTTTACAAAGACATCTGACGTTTAAAAAGTCTGTGTATTTGCGTGTATTTTTGCTTACATGAATACTCGCAATAAAAATTTCCAAAGATTCATTTAATATTTCAATACGAAACTAAAGTTATCAAAAGAGTAATTTCAGGAGGAATATATCGACTGATTCAGTAATACTCAATAATCGACTGAATAAATTTTTCCTTTACCACTTGGTTGCCATGGTATCTGCTGCACTGCGAAATCTCATATGATATAATGGTTATTAGTTTGAAAATTGATGCAGCGAAAATTTTCAACTACTTTTCAGATCAGAGAAATTTAGGTAAGTTTGAAAACACTAAAAGCTTATCACTTTTTAACCAAGGTTAAATATACTTTTTGCCATAGATATCTTCACAGATGACAGAATAAATGCACAAGTGCATGCTTGAAGAGAAATGATTGATGTTAAGTGCTTATAAAAAGTAATAGTAATTATAACCTAATTTTTGCACAATAGATTCAACTAAAATCAACATTGAAATGATTGTGAGTAACTGAAGTAAGTAACCAAAAATGTTATAGAGCAGCAAATGTTTCAATAGTTATTTAAAACGTTATGGTTATCCGTCCACCAATTGAGAAATGGTCAAGACCCGAATTGGAAGATCGTTATCACAGTCTTTATCAACAACACTATGATCTTAAACAAAAGTACAATGAATTAGAAATCAAACTGAAGCAGTAAGTCGAAGTAATCAGCTGTAACACATGATTTCAAATACATGGTGGATTTAATTACTGAAATTTGTTCAGGACAAATTCACGTATTAGAAGAACTGATATTGGCGCAAAGAATTTTAGAACTGACGAAAATGAAAATATACAGCATGCGCAGTTGGTGAAGGAAAACCGATTACTTACAAACAAGGTAGTGGTTGAAAAGTGTTAAAAAAAATATTTTTGTATTTTTATTCTAATTTGACATTACTCTGAAATTTTCAAACTCGATAACTATGTTATTCTAATTATATCTGACTGATTCAGTTTTTGTTGTCCCAACAATGCATCTTCTACTTTTTTATCATGACAAAATTACTAAAAACACATTCTCAGTCACCTTTGCTCTAACTTTAAAAGCTTTTTGGTTTTCGAATGATTTTATGTTAAGTTTTCACACAGCTTTACAAATGTACACACTTTCAATAAGTTCATTTTGGTAGAGAGTTTTTGTAATAAGTAATAATAATTTTTTTTTTTTTAAATGTGATATCAGTCATTCTACACCTGATTTATTATCACCCTTTTCAATTGTTGTCCTGCTTTTCTAAGCCAATGTTTTTTCTTGCTATATTACAGAAGTGCTAAAAGCATTCGATAATCATAAATTATTTATAATACCTATCAGAACGATGCAACTCAAAATTGATTCAAAATTGCAGTTGAAAACTTTGAAACAGCAAATTCTCAACTATTCAAAGCCGAGTTCGTTAATGCAATCCCCGACATTGTCACAAGTTTCTATTTTCTGTGCAATTTCATTGTTATTGTTTTTAATAAGCAATTAAAATTGAATTAGTTATTCTTATTTGAAAGAAGGATCAAATCAGCAATATTTTCAAGTTTTCAGACTTATTTACCTCTCAAACGACCTCAATTGGCCATGCCACAAAGGTCCAGTCAGTCTGTACGACCTCTGTTGATCAGATCACCATCAGCCAACACAGTAAGAAGACCTATATCTACAACATGCTTGGCACGTGGCTCTGGCAGGAAACCACAGTTAATAAGTGAAACGTTAATATGCTTACTTTCATGTTATTCAACGTTTTCGAGCTTAAAAATTGATCATTAATAGATGCATGAATGGATAGTCGGTTTTTGTTAGTACAACTAGGTGTGGTTCGCAAATGGCGTAAATTTTTTGTGAATTCATACATGGCATAAAATAATTAACACAGTGGTACAAGTGGAACTGTTTTTTTTAAGAAATAGAAATAGGTATTTCAGTCTAATTAAATGATAAGTTAGAGTGATAACGCTGATGAAATATGTGGTTGAAATCAGAGTTTGTAAAATTTGTGCTTGTCTTATTTTTGGCTTTTCAAGGAAATCATCACTTCTGGACAAAACTTTATTTGTAAAACTTAATCGAGAAATGAAACAAAAGGAAGATGAATGTTCTTCGTTAACGTTAAAATTCAACGATGTGCAAGAAGTAAAAATGCTGAAAATCTTTCCCTTTTATTTAATAATTACTCAGTTCTTTTTCAACCTAATTAAATCTAAGATAATTAATCGAATGTCTGATTAGATGTTTAGTGAATTATTTTAGATTTAATTAAGTCATACTTTTTCCCTTTCAAGAATAAATTTTTACAACAGCTTTAATTAATAATTATTTGAAACAACATTGTTTGAAAACGATCTCTCAGCTTCATTTTTCTTTTAACTCATAATATCGTGGAAATGAATAATTTGATAAAACAATGTAATTTGCGGAATTAAATGGAAAAATGAATTTTTTCCTTTTTTGAATGAATGGATCAAATAGCTTAACATATTTGTGCATTGGTTCAGTGCGTTCAGTGCGATATCAATATTTAATATCAGTTTTAGCAACTTACAAAACTGAAAAAGGCATACGATCAGCTGTTGTGTGTTAACCAACAAACAGAGACAGAGTTAAAACGACAGTTAGCTGTAATGAAATTAAATACTGAACTGCCAAATATCAAAGAGGAACAAAATATACGATTTGTAGAAAAGGAATTGGAAATAATGCGTGAAGAAAACGAAATATTACGTGACGCTAATGATAAACTTGTGCAGAAGTTCGTTTTCTATTTTTCACTTTCCTCTTCTGTTTAAAAAGAAAAAATGAACAGTCAAAAGTATATTACTCTTTCCTTTCACAATTTTTTAAAAGCAAGTTTGCATTTTTTTTACTCTCAAGAGTTTTCTTTATGGTTGAGAACGATTAAACTTACAAGAATCGATCACAATAAGCTACAGATTTACATATAACATTTGACAGTATAATAGTTCCAAGCGACCCAGCGAAAATTCGATGCAGTAATTTTTCAAAGTTTAAAAAAAATAGCAACTAAAAAATAAAATTTATTTTATGACAAAAAATTTAGCTCGTTGACGATTGAGCAATTGATGGTAGAAGAAAATAGTAATCATCAAAATAGGTTATATGGTCAACATCAGAATCATCCACAAATTCATGAACTGTTCATAAAATATTCAAAATTGGAAGAAAAATATCAACAACTGATGAAAAGAGAAATGAAAGCAGGGAAAATAGCAAGTGATGATGGTGAACTACAATTGAAATCACAGATTGCTAGAGGTGAAGAACAAGTTGAAGCTAAGAACGAGGAAATGGAAGAGGAAAGCTTCAAGGCTTGTCCTTTTAATTATTTTTATTAAAAAACTAAAAGCGCGAAATTAAAAAAAAAAGTTTTTGAATTGCGTTGGTAAGTAAGCAGAGTGAAGAATAGATGATAATAGGGTAGTAAATAAAAAATTAATCAAATGGTTTTAAAAAATAACACACAGTTGATTATTTTCTTATACAGACAATATAAATTTCAGGAATCTTCAAAAACCGATTTCAGTCTTGTTAAAGTATATGAGGATTTATCACGAATTATCGAACGACATATTCTGACACCTTCTTCTGAAGAGAGCAAAACAGTAGATAATAATCAACTTGACAAGTTCGAAGTTTTTTTTACAGAGAAATAATGTTTGGTGATCTGCGATAAATTAGTTTTTCCTTCAACATCATGCATCAATTTTTGTGCATAGCACTATGTTTTTTGTTGAATTTCAGTTCTGTTGCTTTTGCTAAATGAATTCTGGGATAGTCTGCTTTAAACCACTTTTATTTATGCATCATTTTCATTGCAGATGGCAAAGAATGTATATGGAAATCCACAGCGAGCTAGAAAAAGTTCGAAATATGTTATTGATGCAGCATACTATAAATGAGCAACATCTTCAGGAGGTATTCATTTCAATTAATTTTAATGAAAAAAGAAAACTTTAAAAAGTTTGCACTTAACTTTTGATGCTCCTAGATGAAACGATTTTATCTTATTTGTAGCTGAAGTCAATCAGCTCATAGTACGAAATTTGAGTGTCAAAGATTTTAACTAATTAGAAGTATTTCAAAAAATGTTATGAATGCATTTTTATTTTGATCAAACTTGATAATATTTCAAAAAAATTAAAATTTATGCATCTTTAATAAAAAACCAAATATATCAATTTTTGAAATCACAAGATTTGAATTTACATTACATCTAAAACAAAATTTCATCTCTATTAAATCAATGCTCTAAATGTAATATAAATTCTTTATGTTTTCAATAAAAAAGTAGGACCTATGAGATTAAATTGCCCCAAAGATTGATCACTTCTTTATTTCTAGTAATAAAATAAATATATAAATCTTTAATTACATCTGTCCTTAAATATATGCTTCAACTGACTATTTCATGACATGGTTTGACAATAAGTAGAATATGATGGAGTTATTTTGGTTAAAAATCACTTTTTTACCAGTCCTTTTGGTTAAAATGAATACCTAGTCACTTGGTACCTTGTTTTTAAATTATTTATATCTCAATAGAGTCATTTGAACAAATTATTATGATTAGTTTTAATTACTATGTAAGCATCTGTAATTTCAGATAGCTTTGACAAATCAAAATCTGCAACAAACAAAAGATAATTACGAACATAAACTGAAAAAGCTAGTGATGAAACTTTCTGAACGTGAAGCCGAAATTCGAAATTTAGAATCACAATTGAAAACATTGGCTTACGGCGATCAATTACCCATTTTACAAGTTGGGGTGAGCTTTCGATATCTGAAAAAAAAAGAAATTTATTTCACAGTAATTCTTATAAATTTGAAATAAGTACCGAGTTTCGAACATGTTTAAAAAATGTAAGTTTTGTCTCTTTTTTCAAGTAAATTCTAACTTTTGATTAATTTGAAAATGAAATACAGTTTCTTATAAAACGAATTTACAACAAATTAAAAGCAAGAAAAGCTGTCAACAGTAGTTATTTTATCTTTATTAATGACTGAGAGTTTGCAGGCACTAAGCACATTGATGAGTGCACTGATATACCTTATTTGTATATAGTCTAGTATTGAGCTAAGATGAAAATATTTCGACAAATCAATCATGATACAAATTTTTTAACCTTTCAGGAAAATAAACAAGAAGCGGAAACGAGCGAAATGATGTTTCATCTCTCGAGAATTATACTAAGTTCAGTTGCACTTCTACAGATGGGCACTGCTCGACCAACAGTATTTTTAGCTATAGAATTTTATGATTTTGAACTACAGACAACGCCAATGTTAACTGGTCCTGAGTAAGCTTATTACTGTTAGATATACTTGAATTAGTAATACAGCCGTTCTCAAATGTAAATTTTATTCTCTCAGTTAATCGGAAAGACCTTATCAATATTATCAATTCAAAAGTTTAATTAGTAGGCATGAGAAATAAGAATGATTTTAACTGATGGTTTCAATATTTGTAATCATTTATGAAAGACCGATTATCCGTAAACTGGTTCTTTACAACATTTAGTCCTTGATACATGCGTCAATAACATTTGCATTAGCATCTTGATTATGAAAAATGAACATACTTGCAGATGGTACTTCAGTGAATGCTACGTATTTTTATATATATGTGTGTAAGGAGATATAATTTTGTGTTTTTTAGCAATAATTTCAGAATACGAATCGATTTTACGACCATTTATGATATCGTCGTCTCTAATTTGTTTCTTCATTGTCTGCAAACGGTTTGCCTATAATTTTTTAATTATATTTTTTTTAAAACAAGTATTTGATATCGCGTTGAAGAAACTGCATAATGATATTCATTACTATCAATTCTTAATTAAATCCTCTGCCAGTCAAAAGTATTATTAGCGTGGGATCACGTTGGAAATGTATCATCCGCGTGGAAGTAGTTACGAGCTCTGTTCCATTGGTGTTATATCGTTAAAAGCATTGATGAAAGTTAATGAATCTCATCATGGCATTCTTCAAATGCATTCCGTTCGCGATGGTAATTTATTCGCAACAATCGAATATAATATAACACTCACATCTAAAATGTGTGACGCGTTAAATTTGCAAAGAGTAAGTAATTACTTAAATAGCATAATACTCAATTTTTTTGAATGTATACCAAAGATTATTTCGTCTGGCAAACAATGCTACTGTGCTACTTTTTAAAGTTTAAACTTCACTGTCCCTGACCACGTTTGAAAGTAATCTTACTGGTTTGCTACGTTTGACTAGCACTTTTCATGTAGTGTGGAATCATTGTGTACAATGTATTTCATAAAATTTCGTTTTCCACATTTTCACTGTTTTTCTGTAATTCGAAAAAAAAGAATTGCAGTTATGTTTTTTCTACATGCAGAACGTAATTATTTCTTCACTAGGTTATTAATTAAAATTAGCATGATTCCATTTTTAATGGCATGAAATGAAGGGCATTTTCAAAAATTCTCCCTAAATTCATTAACTTCTCTTGTACGTTCATTTACTTCATTGAAAACAATGTATTTTGCAGCAGAAACTGACTGCAATAAATCGTTTACCATCGGAAGATCAAGAACCTATTAGTCATTCGATTTTCAATCAGCTAATCATTGATATTCAACGTTCTTCCAATCTCGATAAGCTTGTTAAAGGTTACCATCGATAGTCGTTTTAGACATTAGATTTGAGGTTGAATTCAGAAAGAATCCATTTGGTTATTACAAAATAATATGTATAAACTGCTTCATATATAAATGACTGACCTCCGTTTTTAATTATATTCCTGCTGCTGCTTCACCTGAGATATTATCTCATCATCTACATAACAGAAGATAATGCAATTAAATTGATAATTTTATTTTTCGAAAGTTTTATTCTATAAAATTCATTGCATGTGAGTCAAACATTCTAAAATGATTAAAGCTGGAAGCGTCAAAGTATTATAAACTCCCAAAACCCTATTTTAAGGTGATTATGCTCCTTCAACTTTTGTTTGTTATGAATTATATGACTGTGATACCTGGCGCACCAGTACTATACCGAACAATGCCAATCCAGAGTACAATTCTGTAAAATCATGGCTATTGCCTACCGGAATCAACCTTCATCGTACCTTCCGCCACTCAGTAAGATCTTTTAATTTTATGATAGTAATTTTTGACTAATCTGATTATTTTGTTGCTTAATTTCTTGTTCGATATCACATTTTGGAACAATTTATCAATCACATTTTTTACACTACCTCTGTCACATCATGACAAAAGAACTATATAAAATTTCCTCTGTTCTGGCGTTTTATTTGTACTGAAACTAAACACAAAAAGAATATTTAGATATTTTGTATCTTGACAACACACTTCATTAATCAAAATTAAAGTACAAACGAAATGAAAATAAAATGAAGCAGTAAACATGAATGAATTTGTGAAAATTTCATAACTTAAGAAAAGTAGCTGGTAAATTTGAACTTTAACCTTATTAATAACTCAAGGCTAACAAAATCAGATATTTCATGGTATTCAAAGTTAGCCCGATGACAGTTTCTATAATTATCGTATTGTAAGAAGAGCAATATTAAATTCTTTAGCAAATTACACTCATGTTTTCAGAATCTAACAGTATTTATCATTGAAGATCAGGGAAATGGTGGTAGCGAACGACAAATTGGATATATTAACATCGCGCTTTATCCTTTAATTCATAACAAAAAGATATCAGGAGCATTTCCACTCTTATCAGTAAATTTCATTTAAGAAGTTGCAATATTTTATAGTGGTCAACTTCATGATCCAGTGATACAGTAGCTACTTTTTTAAAAGGAATAAAGTACCAATGATTACGTGAAAAATTTATTTATGTGATTAACTGATATGGAAAGCTGAAATCTAAAGTACAAATGATTTGAAAAATGAATACTATTTATAGATAAATGGCATGCCAAGTGAAGCTTCCATCGACATTTCGATTTACTGGAAATGTTCATGTTATCCTCCACAAGAGCATTTACTCGACAATAAGGTGCAGTGCATTTAGAATCCGTTTGCGTACCGGAATAAGTTAATTTAATAAGCAAAACTAATTCATGCTTTTGAGACATTACTATTTTCACTACAAATTATTTTAAATAATCAGTCCTTGATACGGTCTCAACGATTATTTGAATTGAGCATTAAATAATTATACTTGTAAATCTCTGGATTTAGAAGTAGAATTATTAAATGGTTCTCCTTAAGGTTTGCGATAAAAATTATTTTCAGGGTCTTAGTAAGAAAAATACTGAAATAGTCAGTGGAAGTCTGCAATCATTTGCAAGCGTAAGGCCTGATATCACATGTGACCACAATGACAATCAGGACAACGTTAGTGGTAAATATTATCAGTTGCGTGAATTACAGCACGAATCAACTGAAATTAGATTGCAGGAGCTCTCCAGGTAAAAAACTGCTGAAGTAAGAAAATGCCAACCAATTTAATAGTTTTTCTTAATACTGAACTTTCTACTACTTCATGTCTTCAGCAGTGATAGTACAAAGGAAACTTCAAGTGACAACCAAGAAAATGATGATTCTGTTCCTTCTGATGGTTCTTATTCTAAGAAGAATTCTTCTGATTCCGTCCCATCAGATAAAATCAGACCTACAGCAGTTGATATTGAAAATAACGTGTACAAAGACAGTGCCCAAGATGATCGGTTGAATAATTTTGAAAATAAAACAATGGAATTGGTCTGCTCAAACTTTACATACTTTAATTTTTCTATAGAAATAGGTTCTGCAGCTAATTATATATTTCGCTTGATTGGTTTTTCAGAAGATTGACAGTTATCTTAGCTTCCGAAATTGAGAATAACAAACAACTTTACACTGTTCGGGCAACGCATATAATTCAATCAGAACTATGAAAGAAATTTTGTTGAGAAATAACTAATTTAGAAAAGAAAATTCATAAGAAAGATTTCAAATTATTTAATCTCTCAGAGAAACTGTTTTTTAAACTTTTGATTTAAACACTTTGATTCTATAGAGAGAGAAACAAAATGTGCTTTAGCGCAGATCAGAAATCTGGAAAATATCAAAGCGATTAAAAAATTTAAATATTAATTGAGTTTTTGAAAGGAAAAATGTTACTTGCATTATGCTGATTTTAAGAAAGAAACGCATATAATATCTCCATGCGCCATCAAGAGATTATAAATAATTATGCTTTCCCTCAGATTGGAGTTTAATTACTGCAATTTAAAATCGAGACAAATTAACAACAAAAAATAATTTTCTTTCAGAGAGAACGTAAGTTTCCACGAGCTGTTGAATTTGCTGATCCAATTCATCAATTATTTTCATGTAAATTGTACATTCTCTCTTGAAAATTTGGAAACATTCAAATTCAATATGATAGTCCAATGTGTTTACCATTTAATTTCAGCTAGTTCAAATACTGTAGAAGAAACAACAGGCAGTTCGATCTTTGACGAAGGGGAATTGATAGAAGATATTTCCGCAATATGTGCCAATTATGAGCAGTTAAATGTGCAGGTAAGACTGCGAAAACCCTATTTTTCAGTACAATTCTGCAAGATAAGCTAACAAGTTAGATTTTATGAAAGAAATTATAAAAAATGCGAAAACTGTCATATCTTTGTGTAGTTGGGTTTTTCAATTTCTTTTCAGATATTTAAAATCTTCCATTTTTTCATTAAAAAATGTCAAAAAAGAACAGCTTAGGACTGTCTCTACGAAAATATTTATACAACTGTAAAGGTAACTTTGATAATTTATTCGTATTCGACTTTCTCAATTTAAAAAGTATTTAGTAACGCATAGGAAATCCCATCAACTTTTTTTTTTAAAATCTATGAGTTCAATTAGAATCCTAACATAAACTGCTTCTTCTACAGACGGCCTCAAATGAATTATATGTTGTGGAAATTTTAATTGGAAATCTTCAAATTGACGACTCATCACTTTTGCTCGACTCTTTATGTGACGATTATTTTGCTCATATTGAATGGAAGTTTTTGGATTTTCCTTTGAGTGAATGTGAAACACCTAGAAAACCATTACCACTTCCAAGAAATTCACAATCTACGGCAACATTTAACTTCCGAAAATGTAAGAAAAAACTGTCGAAAATGTCATCAATGAACAGTGTTTTTCAAAGACCGGCCATCCAATCTAAGATGCATTCTTTAAAGAGTATTGACCTAATGTTTTACCCTATTCTAAGGTTCACACATCATGACCGTCAAAACTTCCATTATAAATTTGTTCTATAAACACAAAAAGTAACAGAACACAATAAAACTCTGATGTGAAAGTGTCAAAATTCTCTTGCATTTGGCATGAAAGAATAGACTTCGATTGCAATATCATAATGAGAGGATCAGTCCTTATGTGAAGTGAATAACATCAAAACTCTAAAAAATGCTTCATTATATTTCTTGCAGCATACACTCTAAATGAACAACAGTTTCAACTGCTGCGTCAGTGGATCGAACTTGGCAATAAGTAAAAGTTTTACTTGAAAGTGAATTTCTGAACTGAATTCTTCTTTAAGTTTCAATATCATAGTCCTCTTGATTTAGAAAAAAATGCAAAAAGTGAAAAGCAGCCTTAATAAGCAGTCTTTTAAGGATGGAAATGAACTTGGTGAGCGATGGAAACTGCAATGAACCCAGTGATGATCTTGGAGTAATATATATCGAATTAAATATTGATCACAATGCAGAAAAACGTGTAATATGGTGTAAGTAAACTATGGTAACATTAAGCTTGAGATAATTCAAGCAAGTAACTATATACCGAAATGAAAAATTCATTAGCACCGTCAAAGTCGGCTTGATCACCATTTCATGTTTTCTTTTGCTGATGAATATGGTAATTTAAAAAAGTGGAAATATATCAGAAAAGCTGTAAGACATTTTAAAATTAACATGCATTAATCAATGTGCCGTTTAGTTATGGATATAAATGGTGCTGAAGTTGCAAATATTGAAGTCTGCATTACATACAACGAAAAATTGCTGGATAAGCTGCGCACTCGGAAATCACACGAGTGATATAAAATGGCTCCAGCTTAGTGTTAAGCGAAGCATTATTATAATTATCGAAGCTTGTACTGTCAAATGCAAAACAATGAATTCATGACTCGATTAGAAGTAGATTCAGAGATGTAAATATCAAAGAACAGATTTCAACAAATTTTTAAGCAGTTACATGATAAGAAGCCACAATTCCTACTTCACTGATCCTTCATGAAAAATATATAATTCGGAAATCTGTCTCAAAATTTTTTATATACCATGAAACTTTCATGTTCATGGAATTATTTCGAATGAATGGGTTGTTGATAATTATTCAGTGGCAGCAATCTTCTTAATTCTTAAAATGTATACTGCATGCCTCAACGATATTATGATCTTGCATAATTTCTATATTCGGTTTCAGGTTTTCATCCGAGGCTTGTGTACTGCAATGTGAAATTTTGTGTTCCATTTTAGTTGCTCATTTCTTTGATTAATACATGCAAGCAGCCATCACATATTATTTAGAATAGTCTCAGTTCCTGTCAAGTTCAGTTTGTTGTTTGTACTCTAACAATCACCCAATTAATTATTAATAGATGAAAAGGGAAAAAAGCAAGCACAGATTCTTGTGCAGTCCTTTAGGAAATAAGACGCAAATGATAAGAACGAGAGACAGAAATTTGCATTTGTGAAAGTTTCACGCTGGAATACAGAGATTAAGATTCATAGGTGTAATTCATTTTTTCCAACAAACAGAGCCATTACTGATGCAAGGAAAGGGCGTCTTTCCAGTTTCCTGAACTTTTTGCATCGATAGTTGGGATAAATAAATCATTCCCGATGCATAATTGAACCAACATCTGACAATTCATTCGATCATTGAAGGCAGTACTTCTTGCACATGTCGTTTTCATTCCCGGTCCAGCAACTTGAAAGTGACTGATGACTGGCAGGGTAATCAAATGGACCTGAAGTTCAATCACTGTAAAACTTACAACTCCGTTTGTCGCGCATTCCAGTGCATAAGACTATAATTACCACCGTGAATGCCATATTTCGAGAGGCATTCCTTGCATCTACATATTCTCGTTTCTATTAAACTTTAATAGTCTCCAAATGCAGTATGAAGTTACTTCTCTCCGACTTGCATCATACATTTACAAACTCACCATTTCCATTCTTTGGTGGTACGAGACTGCAATCTCACTTTAAGACCAAAATGGATTAATTACCAACCATAACAATGAAAAAAAATGATGTCAGATTAGTCCTGCTTAAATACCTGCTGTGATACAGTCTTTTAAAGTGACTGCACAATTCACCTATTTGTACCTTTACATTTTATCTCCAACTTCCGTCCTACTTCTGTCTAGTTATCACTGATATTGTGAAATGAATGAACTCTATGATAATGTAATGGAACTGACTAATTTAAAAAAAAACAAGGTTCAGGATAAAAAGCAATAGATATAGAAATTGAGTCGTGCACAGTGCATCTATTCTTAATTATGGATTGGCAGAAACGATCAAAATAACATAGATGGATAAAAAATTTCTGATATAATGACGCATACCAATTCAAATCAATAGAATATTCGGAAAGAAGCACGCATCTTAATAAAAACGAGATTTAGAAGTATCTTGAGAAGCAACATAAATATAGACCCAGTTTTATCTAATTATTTCATTTCTGCATCGTCATCTTCTATTTTCGGTGCCAAATAGAAACGTAAATGTCCATTCTCACTAAGACCATATTCCACAACAACAGGAACATTATTGCATAAAGAAAGGCGAACCTATAATTTTGGTCATATGACAAAATATTTGGGTAACTCACACCACTTTAAAATATAATGGACATGAGGATAAAAAAATTACTCTTTCTGAAAGTGCCGTAGCTTTAGTGAAATGATTCATGTACTTGATGGAGAAATTGACGCTGACTGGTTCCTGAACATCTATGGACACTGCCTGCGAACAAAATCACTTCAGAAACATTGCATACGATTAAACAAAACTAAAGGAAATTAATTCACAAATAAACCTATAATTGGTTTTAAAACGAAACAGCAACAAATAAGAAGCTACTGTTGTCACAGTCATCATAAAAGAATTACATTTTGATCATCGTCGTCAGCATCCTTCGAAGGAGCATACGTAACGGTCGACGAACCGGCATCTCCTTTTCCGGTGAAAACCACACCAGCTTTAGTGACCGCTATCATCAAAGAATCCGAAAACATTGCCAAGTCTCGACACGTTTTCTGCAAGAAATAGCCTCAAGCTATTACATGCAATTCCCCTAAGGATTTGAAAAGAATAAAGGATGCGATACTTGAAATTCAGCAGCCGGCATTGAAACAACAGCAGAATAGTCCTGTTCTGGAATGCCCAAATGCTCACTATCAATATCCATCATTTTCACTACCACTTCCTGACTTTTATCCTAAAATCAGCAATTTAATTTGGAAAGAAAAATCAGTTACGAAAGCTTATGAGAAATGATATATGAATGTAATACCCGTTTCGTATCTTCAAAAAGAAACAGCACTGAATCGTCATTTTCTTCGTATCGAATAAGACAAGTATCATCATTATTAGCGCATTTCAAAGCTCTGGCCATACCAGCTAAGCTAAGTCCAAGGTTAATCGTTCGGTCGCAGCGATAGCATTCAAACATTGCAACGTCCATTTTCAAGGAAACCAGAGCGACATGTGATGAATCCATCGCCTGAAAAAAAACTAATTTAAGAGCAACTTATCATGGATGCATAAATGCCAATACCTAAATAAAAAATATGGTAATACATGCAGCTAATAAAAAAAGTGTTTTGATAATTTAGATAAGAATCACTTCAAATTGCCAACCTGTAAACACATAGCAGTTTCACTGCAGTCAAATGGAGCATCAGTTACGAGATCCTTAATAGCATCGACAATTCGCTTCAACGTTGAAGCACAACCTAATTTTGCTTCGAACATTTTCCACAGTTCAGAATATGGCCCTGACATGCAATATTTCATATTACTTTTACAACTGTTATTTCGCCCTCATTTTTAGCCTGGACTACACACACTCAATATTTTTTACCAATAGAACGACTAGCGAATTAAGACATCCAGATTTCTCAACGCACAAATGCGCACCACGCAATAACTAACTTCAACTACATCCTTCCATTACACTATTGACGACACATTCAAACATCAGCGCAGTAAAATGCCGCTCAAAATTCCTAGATTTCTTGTCAAAAAAATGAGGAAGTAATGTAGCGCTATTCTATCCAATCACACCTACACCAATCCTGAATGCCCAATGTAAATACTTGTCTTGTTAGTATTAGTGCCAGTATATTGTAGCCAAAGTCCACAGACTCGTACATTTCATGATCCTTACTCCACTTGACTTCTGACAATACTTTATCAAGCCGTCATTTCCTGTACCGTAATATCAGGCACATAGTTTGGCTGTATACCAGTCCGAAATGTATAACTGATGAAATGCCCAAGATGCATCTAAACAACAGTCCAGCTTCTACTTGGAGTTTTGGTAACTGTTTCATTCAAATGTAAACAGAAGTTTATTATTACTGGATTTATAAGTCCGTATATTGTAACCACACATTTCTGATTTGTGCTGTGACAAAGTGACGAGATTTAATACACATCGTAACAATCATGCACATGAAGATTTGACCAGAGATCAGAGATCAGAAGAAACATGTTGACAATTACACATAACAATTCCTTAGTCTTTGCTCTCCAAACATCCCACTAGCATTTATCACTGTCAAAATTTATGTCATATTTATCATGACATCTTAAAAGCATTGGTTTCATAGAAATAGATTGAATTCTAATCGATTCACACTTGTTTATTTACTTGCCGAATGGTGATGTTGACGCGATTTCCATTTGCATAGTTCACGACTTCTTTAAACTGCTCATATTCTTCAAATAAAGTGTTTTGTAAAATTCGTGGAACAGCATGATAAATAAGCCGCTGCGATCCGTACATGATTAAGACATCACCTGAGTGAATGTAAAATGCATCGATAGGGCAGTTTAAATCGAGTCCACCAGCCAGAAAAACTGCAGTCTGACCGAAACTTAGCGAAATAATTGGTTGCGCAAGCTCACGTTCCGATCTCAAAGGAAACTTTCATCAGAATTAGATCAAAATGATGTCCTTAAAAATTAGCTGCTTTCAAAACGTTGGATCTGTAAGCTGAATTAGTTAATAATTCATATTTTTTAACTAAATGAAAGGAAATGTGACTATGTAACCGATTACTTATCAACGTGTGGAGCTAATGTAGCTTTCCTAGAGTAGAAATTTATGATAGCAGCATCCGCAAACATTGGTCCTAAACCAAGCGCTTGTGAGAAAATATCTGACAACGACACGAGTTCTGCAGGCAATGGGACACCTCAACACAAAGCTTTTAAGTAACACATTTTCCCTCATATAAGAGGCGAGAAAATAAATGTTACCCTCAGGGGGATAAATTTTTGTTGTCCAGTTGTAATGAAGACCAAGAGTGGTCCATCGTAGCCGTTTCGCATGTTCTCTAAAAACCTAGAAACAATCAACTATAAGATACACAGGACGTTCATACCATTGGCTCCAAAATTATAAGCTGTTTTATTTGGTACAAGACTTAACTTTATGCTTAAAAATTGCTTTCATTCAATAGAAGTAAGTAACGATAGAAAAAATCTAAGTTGCATGAAGATAACAGCCAAAGTGACGTATCCGAAAACTCATTTTTACCTTCACCTCACAGTGAAAAAATCAGTGCTAAGTTTGAAAACTCACATTTCGAGCATTGGGTATTTGTAGACCAACGTTGGTGAAACCTGGTGGCTCTGTATAAACGAATAATGAACGTTTTATCCATTCCAGATGACCAGTCGTTTCGAAAATATTATTCAGCAATACCATACCTGGTCGATGAGCAATAGTTGATGCAGTCCATTCAGATATTGGTCGCAGCTTTAGGCTTTTTAAAATTTCCTTCGATGGCAATACAATTGGTTCGAATCTAGAGCAGCAAATTCCCTTAGCTGCTGATGAGTGACGCAAGTCAAGCACTTCAGACAAATCAGGGATGATATCATGTCGTTTGTAGTATTTAAAGATCTGCTTGAATGAAGAGTTCGGATGCAGTTCATCATGATAAGAACTATCGTTATAATTCCTTGATATCTGATTCATTCTGCATCCTGGTAGCTTTTCGGACACGATCATCATGTTTCTTCTTGTAATGAAGTAGCAATTCAGCTTTACGTAAATCCAGTTCGTCTTGAAAACCCTGCAGATAATCATACTTTACTGGAACTGTTGCAGAAGATATTCTGTTTGAAACCGCTCATTACATTCATCTAATTTAGATTACACTAAATAAGTAATATCTTTGCCCACATTTCGCTTTTTTGCCAAGAAAAGTTATTTGCGCTGAGTTTAAACATAATCAGAAACTGTTTTGATCCTAATTAACACCTGAAACACTTAGCAGGTATATCTATTCATGAAGACGTATTTGAGTTACCTCGAAGTCAGTGATAGAAAATAATGACCTGAAGCGGTTTATAAATACACCCCACACCATACGCTCCAATCGCCAAACCAATGACAGCCACAACACTTCTCACTAATGTTCGTTTAGGTGTTAATCGAAGCTGCCAACCGACCATACCATTTAATTCTCAAACCTCTCTTACTAGTTGGAAGTGATCACTCCAGAAAAGTTCTGGATTGATATCAAGATCAAATAAGCCTTTCACCAGCTGTCACCAGTAAAAAGCCTACTTCGTAATGATATGAAATATAATCATGTGCACATATAGACACAGCGCAATGAAATATTAGGTTTTGCTTCGTTCTGTTTGTAAAACCTACGTTTGAATCGGTAACCAGAAGTTTCAGTTAACTACTGAGAAGCATAGAAACCATTTTAAGCAACAATTTCAATTTATGCAGCAGCAGTACACTTAGCAAATTACATATGATTACCTAATATCTGCCCTAGACCTGATTAATTCTATCAAATTCCGTATCGAGTAGTATGCTAGTTGCATGCAACCACAAATCATAACAGTTCTCAAAAATTGATACAAAGCATGGCACAGATAAAATATGCGTAATTAGCATTTGATGACTTCAGAATAAGGTATTAAATGTTCTGAAATGTAAAATACAATTTTATCGAACGAGTAAAATTACTGACACGCAAAGGAATAACCGAAATCACATTCCTTGTAATTCTCAGAAATGACCACTAGTCAAAATATGGTCCCATAATCAACAGACGTAAAAAATTCTCGACCGTATTTTGAAAATATACATTTTTTTGCGCATGTAAAGTGTGACACTGACAAGTAATGAAAATAAGAATAAAGGTGATGATTAACGACGACCACGATTAACAGTACTTTCTGGTAAGTTGAAAATCGTATGAGGCCATGATAAAATAGTATCATCTGGGGCAGGCGTCAAGACCTGATCTTCCAGTTTCTCATCTATTTCCTGCAAAATTACATCACCACTGAAAAAAGCAAGTCTCTAAATTTTACTAACATCTAAATTACCATAACAGTGAACTGTTTCATTAAAAAATAATCAGCAACAACTATTTCACTGCTTTTTACCATGCTTCGACGATCCATCCTGAGAAATTTGGCACGCACTTTCCTCATTGTAAGCATACCTTTTGTGAGACGTCTCCAATTTTTTAGAGCTCGTTCTTTTCGCTTCTGTAATGGGATAAAAAAATGTAGCAATATTACGCAATAAATATCATAAGCACTACAATAATTAGCGTAAAATTTGTCAATTTACCTGTTCAAATGCAATTTGTTTTTTCTGGTGAAATTCTTTCCATACTTTGCGAAGCATATTTTCATGCTTTTTTAAGACGACACATCCGTCGACACTGAAAAAATGAGCTTAGAGCTCTTAAATCAATTCAGTTACAGAAACTGATGTTAAAATAAAAACATTTCCTTCATGGGAACACATTTAATTTGGTATATTCAGCAAACTAACATTGGATGGTTTCCCCCTTTATGGAAATCCCATCCAACAACCGCAGGCACGCAATCAATATCAAGCTTCCGCGCAATTGTAACGAGTCCATCTAACCGTACATGAACACATTCTTCCGGCACCATACTGCTTTTATAAACATATATATTGCCGAATTCATTTCGTGGAATACGCTCCTGCAGATGGTATAATGAAAAGCAACAAGAGTAGATTTGCCAACTGAATTCCACAGAAGAAAGAAAATCATCCCAACTACTCACATCCACAACTTTCGGTGGCACATATGGTTCAGTTTGCCAATACCCATATAATTCTAGAGATCGTGGCTCTCTAAGTTCCGGTGCTACGCGATGGTTTACTCTCCCCTTCACAACTTTGTATGGCTTCTCTTCTTTCTAGAAACCTTACAGAAACAAAATTAGCATTATTTTCCATATTGACATTATCTGAAACGCATCCGGGACATAATTAAAAACCGTCTATCTATTTACCTGCAAATTCACAGAATTTAGAGCATACCTTTACAACACGAGCTTGTTTCATCCAGTTTAGAGAAGTATCGAGATGAAAGACGGAACTTCTAGGATAGATATCAATACCCCGAATTTGTCCAATAGAGGCCTGATTTTCTGGATAAATTGCTTCATACTTCAAGATATCTTTTTTTAAAACATATCTGAAAACCAGCTCCCGTACAGATTTATATCTCAGCAGATTATGAAAAAAATGAACTGTCATACAGTGGATGATTTTTATATTCTGCAATTGTAGCCGGTTTTGGTTTGGAAAGAAGTTCATTATGGATGGCGATGTCTTCAATTCGTTCACGTCTTCGATTTTTACTTCGATATAACTGTAAAAAAAGAGCGACTGTAAAATACGATAACTTGCAATTAAAAAAAAAAATCCTCTGACCTTTAAAGTGTTGGTCCACCATGATGGTTCAACTCGGAGTCGTCGTACATCAGCTGATAAGAATTTTGAAGCATATCGCGCTGTTACATCCCGCATTCCCAAATCTACAACAAACAAGTAAACAAATTATGCACATAAATCTATCCCAATAATCATTTGAAAGAAAAAAATTCACCGTCATCGATACACAAAACATAATGCATCGGAGCAGTGGTAGACATCTCTAAACTTTCTGGCATATCCACTGATCCAAACCATGGGTCCATACCTAAATGCAGAACGAGAGAAATTCAAGAAGTAATACATTACCATGAATCAAGGAGTAAAGCAACTAGCTGGAAAAAAGAATAAATAAATTTTTAAAGAATTAAAGCTTTCACCCAATTAAATAAACACCATCCTACGCGCATTTTCTTAAAGGTTAGCTCTCCTCACCTCTACTTTCAATCACTTTTATCCATACGTCACAATAGATCAGAAATTTCTAATACAATTTTAATAAAACTTTAAAGAAACGTACATATCCATTTTGAATCATCACGATCCCAGTATTCCACCCAATAATTCCTTTCTTGACCACATTTTTGACGACCAGAAGACAAAATTTTACTGCTAATCGTATCACCATTTTTGTTCGGTTTCTTTTTCTTTTCGTTTTTCGATCTCTGCCTGTTTTTGGAATTATGTTTTTCGCAATAATCTTCATCACTTTTTACTTCTATTTTATTCAACACTTCATTTAACTTCATTTCCCAGATCTCACAACTGTCGCTATTATCAACGTTCTGCTCCACAAAAATTTCGGTATACTTTGATCGCAACATATTCATCGACTAAAATGTACTCATATTCTATAAGACTGAACTAAAATAAAAAATAGAACAAGATTTTTAACATCTAACAACAATAAAAGCTCTATTTTCAACATTTGTACTAACATTACATCATATATCAAGAACTGAGAGCGAAGTTGCTTGACATACCGGCTTCTGCGTAACTGGTTGACAAGATAAACACAATCGAGCGGGCAGATTTAGAGAAACGAGACATAAAAACAACAGCTGAAATAAAAAACATAAATTACTCCCTAAAGAAAGACATAAAGTAGTTAACAACTAATCATACAAACAATCTCTGAGAAAGACTTACAGAAGATAAATCCTTATCATTCTCGTATACGCGTTCCTCAATCAATTTCTTCAATCTTCTCACCTGAAATAGTTATCGTATTTGAAAAATATTTGCAAAAGCTCAAAAGTAGAAGCTTTTTTATGAGGACTGACAAATTAACTAAATGATATGATCTAATCAATGGAACCATTAATCACAATCAGTAAAAACAGAAACAATAATTACATGATAGTCCCAATAGTCAGTCTTCGGAACGTAACTTTGGTACGTGCGCTGAAAAGCTGACCGAAACCACTTTAAAAATCTTTCTGCTGTCGCCACATCAAACGTGTGTTTGGCTGCTGCCAAATAACCTTCCGGGATCAAAGACAAACATAATGAAGCTAAGGCTTCATCTCGAACTAGAGCACGTATCCATACTCGTAAATGTGCAATGTAACAAAGAAGATGCATCTGGATAAAAAAAAACATGACGATATAGTGGAAAATTTTAATCAGATCAATATTTCATTGTTTGACGATTTGTTTGTCATATAACTTATTAAATTAAGAACAAATGTTGCTTTCATACCAAGATGAAATAGGATAAATAGTAACAGGCGGTGTTTTAACTTATATTTTCGAGAACTCTGGACATTTCTAAAACGAAGCAACATTTACCTTATGACAATTAATCTGCCGTTCACGTATTTTACGATTAACTTGTTGTCTAATAAATTTCGCCCATTTACTTTCTTCAGTTTCCTTAGATCTAGAAGCACTAATAGTAACTTCCACGTTGTCATTCATGCCTGACGGTTCATAATTATGTTGATCAGTAAGATCAACATCTTCCCATTCATCGTCGGAAATACTTGAATCACTAGATTCATCTAAACAAGCCATATCCTTATGTTTCTTTTCTTGATCTCTTTATTATCTAGAAACCATTGTTTTCTGAACTTGTATATAATAAGTGTATGCTGAAAAAGCATACATCACAATCTGATTAAGAAAAAAGTCGCAATCAGGATGCACATCAAGTTTTACAACATAAATAAAACGAAATGAACTTCAAATCAACAATCTGATATGACAGTTAAAGAAGAAAATGACGACCTTGATAAGTTTCCTCTCCGTCTGAAATCTTTCTCTTTGATGACTGATTACGCTGTCGTTGTCTGTTAGGTTTCAAGTCTTCAGTACTCCCCGCATCTGTTCCATTTCGAGATTTTTTAATTATAGGTTCCAAATCATTCTCTAACATTATTTCCTTCTTCTTCTTGGCATTACGACAGAGTCTACCACTTACTCGTGCCACATAATTCCTTGCATTATCCTTCACTTCCGTATTTTTGCTCACATTACCTAATGAAAGACTGATAATTTAATAAGCAAGCTTACCATGTTTCAAAGTCTCATAAATTCTTCGAGAAGACTACTTTCTTTCTCTCTCATGTTTTACCTTGTTTTAAAACATTAACTCTCTTCGAGTCAATCTTTTCTACTACATTCTGGTCCGAAGGTGCTTCAGATTCCCGTTTTCGTCTGCTACTTCGGCGAGGAACTACACTAGTCATGATATCAGACTGGCAGCTTATATGCACCGTTAGATGATCTAAAAAGGTTTCTGAATATAGTAAAGCGAAGAGAGAATTTTAACCTTAGTTTTCACACAACCTCAGCCACGAAATACTTCCTAAAATTTGAGTTCTACGACTTCTCAATAATAAAATGCTATCTCAATATAAAGATGAAAACTAAAAGGATGTAACCGTAAAGGTCTAACTTGACATCATAAATAGTGCCTCATTAAAATCGAACAGCTGCAATTGGTGATAATAGTTGCCACTTAGAGTACAAATTAGTCAGAAATGCTTAGCGGATATTACTTACTGAGGGATTACCTGTCTTTCCACAAGCAACCTCAACCCTACTTTCACAAATACTTCAGCGTTGAAATACTCCAAACCATTAGCATACTCGTCACATATACAGCACGTACAACCCGCAAAGTGTAAACTTTCAAATTATGAAATCATTCCGTCTCATTTCAATTTGGTCCCATTATACGAATGTTAAAACTTACTGCTTGGGGATTCCAATAGCTAATTTTCAAGCTTGAACTTGTAGAATATGTAATGTAAGGACAAAAAGACGAACTTTTTTACTTCACCAGATGATTACGAATTTTTCAGCACAAAAGACAATGGCAACGAAAGAATAAAACTATTACAATGTCATAATTTCGAGGAAAATGCTAGATGAAGTGAATAATACGAATTGGTGGAGAGAAGGGCTAAATATGGGAAGTAACTTATTTCTGCAAGCTCCAAGACATTAAAAGAACACTGGGATACAAAAGTTGCATGACAGAGACCGATAATTGTATCTAAAGTCAGTGCGATCGACAAAGACACGAGGGAGTAAAAAGAATCTTAACGAATTTCTAGAAAAAAATAACTAATAAAAACTTTTCATTTAAAGATGGAAAGCTGTTTTGAATGACCAGTGCATTTGTAGCGTGGAATAAAGAAAAGAGTACTATTGTATAGTCTGGTAAGAAACTGCGTATTTCTGCACTTTTAAAGATCCTTTTCCTGCGACATGCAGCTAGTCGAAGCATAAATTTAAAGACTGCTCATTTTGACCCTCAGCATTTTTCACAACACATTTGTATCTAAACAACAACATAAAACATTTCTCGCAATAAAAAAGAAATCCTCTACCAACCATTAGAACGGCAGAACTATGAATCTAATTGAAGCCCATAATTAAAAAACTTCATAACCTCTGTATAAGAAACATCTCATTATAAAGCAATGTTGCGAATATTAAAAATGGCTTGAAAACTCTGTTTCTAGCTCATTAGAAAAAAGAAAATTATTTTAGATAAGAAAGTCCCATCTCTAGAATCAATCTCGAAAAAAAATAAAAAAAGAAAAAGAACTCACTTAGCCTGATCCTCTTGCTGCGGACCGTGTATCTCTAACAGATACTGAAAACCTTCTTTGTCTTTATCGTCTTTCTTTACCACCATTTTGATTCGCTCTGTCGCACTTAGTGGTTTATCATCCTAGATTTGCTATTTACAATATTTAAATAATAACCAAAAATAGTTAGATCATATAATAATTCTATAACTTTCCAAATTTATTCGCTCTTTTCCAAGATCATTTATGAAGACATGAATAGTACTTTACAAATTTTGTCAGCTCGATTTTTACAAAAAACAAAATTTTACTGAATTAGGAAACAGATACATTACGAAGCACTTGAAACATAACTTGCTCATCTAAGGTGTAAAGATTATACGAATATGAATGATTTTCACTAAGCTACACGTTACTGAAGACTAATTTTTGTTTACACACCCAGCAAAATACTAATTATCAACAATCAAATCATAATTTTACCTTAAACCACTGAGCTTTCATCTCAAGATGTGACTTTGCACGAACTTTAATCACAATAATATTACCACCATCCCGCTGTACTATGTGAGGTTTATCATGAAATTCAGGTGCATCTGAAAAAAACTCTTAGTTGATATATATATATGTATAATTGCTCAGCTCTGAGCGGCTGCGTTCAAAAAACATAAAATGGAGGGTAAAAGGAAAAAGTCCGCATCTGGAACCATAAACGAAAACAATACAAAAACAGATGCGGTTGGAAAAAGCTATGTTAAAGGGTATGAGAGAACATACTGCCAGTGTACCAAAACCCGGTGCAGCAGAATAATCACGTTTGAAGCAATCGTCCGTGGAATCAAAACCCCACGAACTAAGTGGCCAGGAGAGGTGCTAAAAGCGGTCCCTGACCGATTTGGAAGAATGTCAAGAGGGGGATGACCATTGCAAGAAGTTTTCGTGTGCTATTACCCTCGAAGAACCGAAGAAGCAAGCGAATTATGTGATCACCAGTATTGCAGGTCATCCGTGATCACAGAAACGGCTTTTGAAGGAGTGAACGGAAATGTGTCAAAGTACAAGATACGCACTTCGAGCAAAACACACTACACGAGTCTAAGGTCTAGGTGCAGAGGATAAATATCTAGTGTTGGTGCAAGAAGCACAGGGATGTGAGATAAATCAGACAAAGTGGAGGCGGAAAGTAATCCCGGCGAATGTTGATCCACCTATACTTGGAGCAGTGAACCAAGTGGCAAGTGAATATTTACACAGAATCTTCCCGAGTCAATGACCGATATTGCAAGGCAGCTCCAGGCAGCACAACAATGTAATGAAGGCATGACGAGGCGAGGGAAGCCATCGGGATCGAGGTGGAAAGCAAGCATAGAAAAGAAGATAAGCTTGTTGAATTTCCACAAATTCCTCATAGAACGGACTTTGGCCGATGAAAAACTGGGAGGTAAAGACTTAAATGAAGCCAAGAAGTGTATGAGAGAGATGAATCTTACACTTGCTCTTAAGCGTGACTGTCATCAAGCGTTAAGCATATTGACAGACCGTGTGAGAGTTTACGAAAGTAAAAAAGTTATGATACCCGATGTGCATTCACAATACAAAGCACCAGATCCTAGCTGTTCAGAAGATGGCTTTATAGAAGTCTAATCGATGGATAGCCTGTTAATTTAGGGATAAAGGAAATCAAGGATTTTTTGGTGTACAGTGTGGGACTCGGGGATGGAAAACGACGACAATATCCTGCACAACGAAAATCTGGAAGAATTCGTTCCAGATCATGAAATGCATAATACTTTCCCCTCTGAAGACCAATTTGAGAAGATTGTTTCCAATTTGCCCAATTGGAATGCAGCAGAGCCTGATGGAGTTCATATCTTTTATATTACGAAGTGCACTTTCTTGCATCCATACCTGCACAAAATAGTAAGAAAAATTTTCCTGAATGGGGAGCAAGAGGATTTGTAGTTTTATAAAGGTACTACCTAATCCCAAAGGGTGTTTCAAGTAAAGGCAGCGACTTCAGGCCAATAACTTGTATGTCGAACCTTTACAAGTTGACAACTAAATGAGTGGCACGTGTTCATCCAACTGACGTTCGATGTTGCCACGACGAGGTTACTTGCAGATAACTATTAAGGACTATCGCCAGATTAAAGGTGCGAAATAGCAGGCACTGTTGAACCTGATGGTTTGCAGAGAGCATGGGAACCAGCTGTATACTACGTGGTATGACACCAAAAAAGCATTCGATACAGTTAACCACGGACACCTGATTAATTGCATTTAAAGGCTTAAAATGACATCGTGGATCTACAGGTTTCTGAGAAGCACCACATCTAGATGAGCAGTCGTATTGAAGAACAGTGGAGAAGAAAATAGAACAAGGAATTCTGCAAGGTGATAGTCTTTCTCCGCTGCTATTCATACTGTGCATGGACCCGCTGAGCCGTCGACTCAATATAAGGTACCCAAAGCTCACGGTTCCAAATGATCAAGGAATGCACGTTACGAATCATCTATTATTTGTGGATGATCTCAAGATCTTTGCTACAGACGAGGAAAAGATTGTACCTGCCAAGGGACGAGCTAAGACGTGGACTTTATAATGTTGAGCAGAAGAGTGAGCTTATGCTTCTCCAGCTACATAATGTTCTTATAGATACTGCACCCATTTGTACCAGAAGAGCAGCGATTCTGAAGCAGGACAAAGCTCATAACACGTACCTGGCATCTGTACCCTATCTAAAGACTAGGTACGACATCGCAGAAAATCCTACCGTTGAAAACGTATTAGCAGTTTAAAAGGCGTTCTTGTATAGCGAAATAGAAAAAAAAATCCACCATGCAAAGCTATACAAGATGCGGACGAATAGAATCTCGTCCATAGTTGATTCATCAAAATGGCTATGATACGGAAACATTACCCCGCAAGATGAGGCACGATACTGTTATCTCCAAGATAGAAATATGTTTGGAACTATGTGCCAACATTGTAAGGAACGTGTGAAGATGGTGGACCACCTAGCGATGCAGTGCGAAAAAATGTTATATCACGACTATACTAGAAGACACAATGA